AAGGTATTTGTAATGAGTCGCGATGTACAAAATCGTTTGTACTATGCCGCAAGTCAGGTTGAACGAAAACATCAGTCGACTGCGGTGGGGTGGAAAAGGTTTAACTGAACTCATGGCGTTTGTAAGTCTGTTCGTGTGGGCGTTTAGATTCATATTCATTGAAGAAGGTGAGGGACGCACGAATTTTCCTGGAAGTCTGAGTGTCGTTCTGTAAATGGGTTGAGATGCAGTGTATCCAATGTCAGCTTTCACTGCAATGTGAATACCAAGTAAAACGAGTGGAAGAGAGTCGATCCACTGTGAAACGTTCGCAAATGAGAGTGAAGCTTCCAACCTGTTCCCTTGTGGGTGGTAGTTGGTCGTTCTGAACCATGTGAAGCTTAGTAGAGTAGTAATGCAACACAAAAGTCCAGATTCGAACATGCATCCATGGTACGTGGTGATAGTTGAATAGCAGAAGATTTTGCCCATCGTTCAACGAAGGCGTGGGCCACTGCTTCATCAGTATTGTACTTGACGTGTACTGCTTCTGGCCATTGTGTGAAGCTGTCCTCACAAGTTAAGAGATACGAGTATCCACTTGAATCTGGTAAGGGTCCTACTAAATCAATGTAGACATGGTCGAAACGTGCATCAAAAGTTGAAAAAGGGCCTAAGGGACATTTATTATTATTAATAGTATTCACAAACATCTTATGTGCACATAAGTGTTGTGAAGAAACCATTTTGGGTTTCTTCAAAAATGCAATAATACTCAAGTTTCAGTAATGTTATCATTATATTTGCCACATTTGCAGTAGAGAAAAGAAAGAAAATATTAATGATAGAATAATAATAAACCAGATTCTGTGTAAGTGAGAAGAATATCGAATTGATTTTAGAGAAGGAAAGAAAGAAACCAAGAAAATGGAAATAAAGAAAACGCAAAATGCGCAAATAGTTTAGTCATCGTGTTTATGAACACAGGACAAGAATTAACGATTATTTATGTATCACCGAATAAGTAATAAAAATAAAATAAGTTAATAAGTAAATAACTTATTATTGCAGTAAGATGACGTTAGAATAAGTGTTTGTGCAGTCAAAGTTTGGAGTGATGCTACGAAATTCTTAATCAAGTGCAAAGTATAATCAGTATGTATGAGTCGTATATGCATAGTGAAGAGAAAACGAATCTGAGAAGTTGATTTAAGCGTAACACAATTTATCGTCTTAATTACAAACTCCGTTGTGGCTAATCACTTTAGATTTCTGGCAGCTTATATAGGAGCATGCCCACTCCCTCACGTCTTTACTCATACCAGGCCAGCGAAATTGATATGCTGTGAGCTTCATGATGTCACGAACACCAGGATGGGAAAGTTTGTGTGACGCATTAAAGACGTTGCGTCGATAATGCTTCGGAAAGATTGGACGATCCCAACCTGTAGATGTGTCGCACAATAAGGTTTCCTCACCTGTTCCCATCCATTTAGTACAGAGTTTCAGGGTTGCTGAAGATAACTCGTGCCTGTCAGTGTCTTCTTTTTTAAGCTGGGCGAGTTTCAGAAGGTCGATCCCTGGGGAACGGTTCAAGGAAGTTATACAAGACAGGGCGTCCATAGCCGCCACCCTGCTTCTAAGAGGTCGGATGTCTTGAGCATAAATAGTGAGTCTGAGGAAATCTTGAGAGCCGGATTCGAATTGACATTTTTGAATGCTGACAGTAGTGTTGTGCTTTTGTAGTCGTTCGAAGACAAGGTTCAGATGCTGGAGATGATATTCTCTGTTCGGATTTGCAATCAAGCAGTCGTTAACATACGTATGTACAAAGTTGAGACCTCAAAGGGAGTCACTGACGAGCATTTGGAAGGTTTGGGCAGCATTTCTTAATCGGAAAAGCATGCACAACAATTCTTATAGACCGAAAGGAGTGATAATAGCGGTTTTATGAATGTCGTCAGCAGCCATGGGAATTTGGTTATATGCTTTAACCAAGTCGAAAAGACGGTTGTACCTTTCAAGTCAGCTATGAAATCGTGGATGTAATGATGGGGAGTGATTAACGCACTTAATCATCGATAGTCACCAGTTGAACACCATTCGTCGCTATCGTTTTTAGTGACAATGTGCAAAGGAGATGCCTATAGGCTGTTTGATGGCCGAATGATTCCCAAGTCTATCATGTAATCAGATTCGTTCTTAGCCATCCTCAGCTTTTCGGGAGGTAGTCTTCGCGCTTTCGAGAATACAGATGGTTCTGTAGTCCTGATGTGATGTGTAACGTTGTTGGTTACACCTGGATATTCTGGTTGCGTTCGGTATATCTCATGGTACTTATCGAATATTTGTTGGTACTATGGATCAGCTATGTGTTATATCGTGACTGAGGATAATCTACAACCGGAAAAGAAGTTACACAAACAGATAAATTAATATTCCGTCTACTAGCCTGCTTATGAGCGTGTAGTGAGTAGATCTATATCACTGGTTGACGTAGGAACATTTGCAACAATCAAGATCTAATCGGTGGGCATGCATAAACACATATTAAGACAAACCGCTTACTACAAGTGGTGATCGGTTTCCCATTTGCCACCTGTAAGTTGAAAAATAGAGGAACACTTACTTCTGGGCCGGTGTCAACAAGGTAGAGATCTTTCGTAATCACATCAGTGATGTGCAACAAATGGCTATGTTCGCCGGCTATGGTTGCCATTAGTGCGTGCCGGCTGGGATGTTTTCAGAAACCTTCGTCGTGTCAGTCGGTTTGGAGATCGGAAAAATTCCCGGTTTTCAGCAATTTCGAGAAGACTTGCCATAACTTTTGTTGTATCGGCATCAATCAGGATTATCTTCTTTTCACGGTCTTGCAACAAATCTATTTCGTGAAGAGCTTCTTTGAGGAGTTTGTGAGTGTTTAAGATTATGATGGATATTAAGATAGCGAGTGATAGTGTGCAGAGATCTGTAACATCTTTTAGTGTTGTTTGAGGTTTTTGTTTGACAGAATAAGCCTCGGCACATGAGGTTCCGGTTATCTTCGGAATCCTGCTAGCGGATGCAATTAGTTCATTTACGGAATTATTTCGAAGTTAGACGAGAACCGCCTGCGCCTATTGAGGAAGCTTATACAGGAAGAGCTGTCTTAACAGGCCCTCGTCAAGTGTCCGATGATCAGCGTTTTCACACACATAGCAACATTTCTGTTGCCGAGTCAATTTGCTGCTCCATGTTGTGGAAAAGTCGGTCTAAACCTTGCTGGTCGGTTATTTCTCCATGTTTAAGGTTAACCTTCTTCAAATTGTCGTAAGGTTACGAAACATCACAAATAAACATGCTAGGTGTAAGATCCAAACTAAGTTTTGCTGAAGAATAAATGTCTGGATGAGAAGACACTCGTGCACTCCAATAGAAATCAGAACAAGGTGATTGGGGTAACAACGGTTCTAAATTTTATCATAAATACAAATGTACAATTTTACCTAAACAAATATTACCACTCAGTTATTCGACCAATTATTGTTCCTACAATAATCGATCGAACGCACCTAGAAATAAGTGTTATTCTATCCTTTCTGGATAGATCAAGTAAAAATCCGTTCAAAAGATAATAGGTTGTTGCTCTATAACACAAAGTGCTTTCAATTCTGGGAAGGTGCTTCAATTCACATCGAAAATGCATGATCCCAGTCAAACCAAGCAACACAATGAAAGAGAGAACAGTCAATATGGCTGCCGCCAAGAATAAATATCGGCTAAAACAACATAGATACAATTCAGGAAGAAACATAGAAACTCAGTGAAAGCGAAAATGCCAAAACTGTTATGAAATGAAACATTACAATCTCAAATGGCATCAAAAAGACTAACAATAATGAACTAAAGAAACCATTAAGAACAAGTTTAAAATGTATGCATGGAGGGATTTTCACACGCGAAACCCTCAAAATGGACCATACAATAGGTGTGACGTATCTATTAAAACTGAGTGGTAGTGACTTCACTATTGCAAGGAATTTTGCACGTAGGTCTATCACACCAGGCTCGTGGGACTCAGATTCTGCGTAGCGGAAAACCTTCTATACCGTCGGGCCAGAGTGGCATGAGTTGAAACTTAGGAGGAGAAGGAGGATTTTACTTTAACACCTCAAAGTGTAAAGTGGTCCATCTGTGGCATGTTGCAAACTCTAGTTACAACTTAGGAAACTTCTATCTAGAAGTATCTCAAGTCGAAAAAGATTTAGGAGTGTTGGTACCCTACTACTTGAAATCGTATGCTAACTGTGACGAAAACGCATTTAAAGCAAACCTTGCACTGGCAACATTGAAGCACATATTGGGACAATTTGATGTTAGAAATTTCTGCATAATTTTTTAACAGTTTTATTCGTCCTCATTTAGAGTACGGAAACATAGCATTTCCTCCCTAGTTGCAAAGGGATAAAAGCATTCTGGAACGTATCCCACGGTGAGCCACGAAATCAGATCGGGAACTCAAATTCAAACCTTATAAAGAGCACTTCCAATAATTTAACCCCCACCCAATAGAGCACAGGAGTCTTCGAGGTGACGTTCTTTGGACTTACAGTATATTTAACAATTCTGGTCACCCATTTACACATCTACGTAAGCTTAGTCACAACACTAACCTATGGGGTAACGTCCAGAAATTGGTGACCCAAAATAGCAGAACAGACTGTAGAAATATTTTCTCCTCCGTAAGGGTTGTCAAGTGCTGGAATTCGCTGTCGACTGAGCAAGTCCAAACGAGTTCCAAGGAGTCCTTTAAGAGGAAACTTAACCTTTTCTTAAGGACTAAGTATCACATATTATTATGATGTTCCAATTTCTTTTTTTCCTCTATTATCATCAATATACCTAGGTTCCTGCCTGGAGGTATTGTTGATCCACTGCTACTAGACACAGAAGCTTTTTAAGCGAAAGCTTCATTTATTCCGTCCACCGCCATTTGATCCATTTGAAAGTTTCAAGACATCTCTTAAAGTAGCGCCTGGTTTAAACACAAAGCTACGCTGATGGGTGGCGATAATTCTAAGCTAGGCTACCGGAATGCAGTTATACAACTCACTACAAAAACCCAAGTATTGCTAACATTTCAGATTACTAATTGATTAGCCTGTTGATTCTAACGATGATAACTTTTGGGACCAGTTTTGGGCTGAATATCCAATGTCTATCCAAGATATATTTGCTCTCATCCCTGCAGCCGAAATCCGAGCTTTAAGAACAGAAGCGCCAAACAATCTAGCTACTTTATGCTATAAAGCCATTGAGCGTATCGCACAGGTGTCTGAGTCTGCTTCACCGACCACCAAAGACCAACTTACAGGTTAGTTTATCTAAGTTGCATATATTTTACAGTTCTCAATTGCATCCGGTTGTTAACTAGATTATTGCCATACATATTTGAAGACGTAGAATGGCGCTCGTTTTTCTGGTCACCTCTCCCAGTCGATCCCTCTGTATCCCGAGAAGTACGTTGTTTTGTACTATTTAAATTATCAAAAACAGCAGGTTGAATTTGTTCCACTTGCTCAAAGTTTACTATCAGCACTATGCGTAAGTGGCCTTTTTAAATCCAAACTTCCCTAGGATCTGCTATTCTGTCCAGATTTTACCGTACATTCAATTTCCAAATCTGGCCCTGTGAGTTTATTCGACGTACATTGTTTATACATTGTATTATATTCAATAAGTACATGATAATTCAAAATTCTAACTATTTAATGTATGGCCGATGATCACTAGTATCTCTATTCTTTGAAGGAAAGTTTTGTTAGTTCTTTTGAAAATGTGCAGCTTTTGTATTTATCGCGCTCATTTATTCTCCGTTTTCTAAGGTTCAAACAAGTTTCGTAATGTGTCAGTTATTTGCAACAAAATGCAAAGACAAACCTGTTACCACGATAAACTATAACTTGATACTCGGTATTGCTGTATATACCGTAGTTTTATTCTATATTAGTCGATGCGGAAACTAATTAGGAGTATTTTAGTGACTGACAATTCATGGATGGTTTCATCCTGAAACTGGCCGATTAAGCAACAGTTTCATTCCTTGCCATAATCATTTTTGTCTGAAATCCTATATTTCTTACAAGCATCCAATGGTTAAACTTTTCATCATCAATCATGTATGGTAAATCAACTTGCTCTTGTCATTTTCTATTCAAATAATTAAGAGGGTTATTTGTTATTAAATTCATTCAAGTCACCATATTTTGCCCTAGGCCTCTCACGTATTACAGCTATTCGTGGTAAGTGGCGTTTTCAGAACCCAATTTATAGTTTAGATCCCGACGTTTTACTCAGCTGTCAGTTTGTCATCTAAAGTCACACCAAAGAAATAGATCATCCTGGTGAAAGCTCTATATTCGAATACTACAGGACGAGTCAGATCACGGCGTACTGTCACCAAAATACTTAAACTCGAATGTTCGTCAGGGTTGCACACTGTTCTCTTTTTTACATGATTTCTTCATCCATGACCTAGCAATAACTTTTCGTTTACCATTTTACGGATTGATTCGCCAGAAGGTTCATTTATCGACTTAAAATACCAAAATATGGTAAACGTGGCTAATTAACCTCTAGCCGCTTTAAATAACATAAGCATATTTGGGATGCATTTCCCCTAAATTAGAAATATTACTTCAGGACTGGTTGGCATAAATGCCTGTACTGGTGATAGGGAGTGAAGTAGTAGATTGTTTTGACCACTTCACCTATATTTGAAGTCTCATCAGCCCTGGTGCGTTGGTTTCTAACAAAGTCTCAGTACTTATTCAGAAAGCCCAGTTAACTCCTGTCAACTTGCCTCGACGGGTGTTGTCTGGTATAGGAGCAGATTGAAAGAAATCTGGGAGCGGTCAAACTAAGAAAGGGCATAGGTTAGTGGAATCATTGACAATTGAACAGCCACTTTAACATGCCTAGTTTCATTACTTTACCAATATAGACCACATATTTGATGTGACGTACTGTAAAGAATAGTTTCTGAAGTTATTCTGATTAGTTTGTTCACCAATATGGTTTGATCCTATCTTCTTTATTCTCACTAGGTTCCTTTCCGGAAGGTGACTCGATTCATCCTGACTTAATCTTTATCCTAACACACTTCTGCGATTGTTGTTCTAGGGAGCATTTTATCTGTAGATGGAAATGCTGTAACATGTTTTCTAAACATAAAGACCTCTTGAGATATTAATTCTCCTAAAATGAGCAGTTGGCAAATTGTGTGAATAAATTTCGTGATACGTCTGGTTCATTTTTCTTATTAGAGACATCTCAGTGATATTACACAATTAATTTCTCATTCTAGGAAAGCCCAGAAGATATGCATTCTATTGACAGTTGTGAGTATATCTGGCAGTCTGGTGTGGGATTTGCACAAGCCCCTGCAATAAATGCCATTCATGATTCTAACCGGACAGAAATCCTCAAACTTATTTTGACTTGTTTTTCTGAGACTATGTATTTGGAACAAGAGGAAGCTCACCGCTCTGAAAATAGATGGGTTAAATTTTTCACAAGTACGGTGAATCGTCACGCACTGCCATTATTTGCTTCTCTGTTAAACGTTGTTTGTGCATATGATCCTGTTGGTTTAGGTGTGCCGTACAATCACCTTATGTTTTCTGATTCCCGTGAACCTTTAGTTGAAGTAGCTTTACAGGTAAGTTAATAATTTAGTTGTCCTTACTTTTCTAAATTTAATAAAGGAAGTTGTATATATGATACTCGTTAATTTACTTAGTTAAACAAAGTTTTTTTTACCTCTAATGCTTCTATTAAAACTAAAAAAGTTTGTAATACTTCATATTCCACATCTATTCATATTTCAAATATAACTTAAATTTTCCTGACAGCTTAAACAACGAGAGTAGAAAGTAACTTTCCCCCTTAAATCATCCAAATGATATGTTTCTTGTATGCAAATGTGGTTGTCGTACAATCAGCATTATATCAAAAGAATGGACAAATACATTTTAATAGTTGATATCATGAGTTAACTAAAGCTAGACCGACATACAAAACCTGGAAGCACTGGACAACCGTTTCGTCCTATTGTGGTACCCCTCAGCAGCGCGCATCCACGATCTCGACTCGCGAGATTCTAACCCAGGATTATTAGTCGCGCGCGCGGGCGCTTAACCTCTAGATCACTGAGCCGGCATCCAACGGTGTCAATGTCTAATTTCAACCGATCCACGAAATTGAGCGACACATCCGCCATTGTTTTCAGTGAGTTACTATCTCACAACAGACCTGGTTGAACTCCACTGATCACTGCTTTTCACTAGAACTCCAGGTTTATCATTTTATTTATTTAAACACATATATATTGGTACAAAAGGGCACCAGGTACATATGCGCCACACGAAATAATGAAAGTAGGAAGAGAAGGGATGAAAAGATAAGGCGGACTGAAATGTACAACCAGAAGACTCTTTCAAATAGGAAAGTAAGAACCATACTTTATGTAGAAAGTAAAAGAAGGTTGCAGCAGGATCGCCACTGGCTTATATTCTGAGCCATATCTGATAACGTCTCTAGCCACTGTGTTGCACCATCTCTCGGACCCCAGCCAGTGAGCTAGCCCTTTGCAGCTTTCTTTCATGCCACGACACCATGTCATACACTGACCTCCTCTCCGCTTTTTCCAACCAGTCCCAGGGTCGGCAAATAATGCACGACGTGGAAGTCTTTGGGACGACATTCGTAAAACATGTCCAAGCCACCGAAGTCGGTGTTTCAAGATGGTGGCACCAATTGAATTATCGTCTCTGCGCCCGAACACACGATGCCGAACCTCTGCATTACTAACATAGTGTTGCCACTGGATGTCAGCAATCCTTCGGAGACAACGATGATCGAACACAGAGAGACGTCTAACATCCTCAACTCGGAGAGGCCAGGTTTCACAAGCATAGAGCAAAACTGCTCTCACCGACGCGTTGTAGATCCGACCTTTCACAGCCAGACTAACATCACGAAGGCGCCAAAGATGGCCCAGATTGGCATAAGCCGCTCTGGCTTTCATTAAACGTGCATCAATCTCATCACTCACGCCACCACCAGCACTTATATAGCTACCTAGATACACGAACTTCTCAACTACTTCGATCTCCTCACCATCCAGGGTGTATACAGGATGAGAATCCTGCCAGTAATACCTCTTGAAGCCAGTCACTAGTAAACATATGTTGATTGGTAAATTGTTTTTCGTATGACTAAAGTATCGTTTCCTGTCGTATTTGCTTGGAAAACTATATTTGTTCCCCATAGATCCTGTGCATAACATTAGAACCTGATCACATGATATCAAGCCCTACGTATTCGAATGCATCATTTCGTGATTTAAATTCTTCTCACAGCCATTCTTGTTCAGATGTTGATGAACAGTTAAGTTTAAATGGTACTGGGATGACTAGTCGAAATAGTGGGAATGGAGATGCATGGAATAGTGAGATGAATCTGTTCGTAAATTACATGTCTCGTATACACAGAGATGAGGTTAGTTTTATTTTGATACCATTTTCTTCAAACATATTATTTATCCATCTGCCGTTTTTTTTTTTACTTTTTTAAGATCATTAGTCAACCAATGATAATGTTTATCGAAGTCTCAGGTAGTGTCTTAAAAATAATGCCTTTAGCTATCAACTGTCAGTTGTTTTTGAATTACTTCACATTTTCGCCAGGCAGATGTTTTTTCACTCTATACACTATATGTGGTTAACATAAATTTGTAAATTTATGAGCTCTTGGGTGATGCGGACCTCTGTTTTAAGTCAGGTGTGTACGAAGCTCACCATCCGTATTATTGATAGTTTTAGTTTCATGAATTTTTGTTAGCTAGTTTGATCATAGTGAAAACTATAAGTGGCTGTGTCCTTATTTGATGTTTATTTTCCAATCAATTAATTTCCTGCGAGCTTAATTAATATTTTCATGTAACTTGTAAACTCTACAACCATTTAATCACTAGATTTTTCTAAAGTAGCAAATAAACAATGCCAAAGTAAGGGCTAGGAGTTTTAGTGGGGAAGGTAACGATCATTTATCTGTACCGGCTAGTGACTGGGTGCAAAAGGGGGTGCGTTTGACGACGTCACTGGTCAGCATTGACTCTGATTTGTAGCATTCTCATCGTTATAGTGAGTCTTCCATGGTAGTAAAACGAATTCATAGACTTCTACTAAACATCAATAGTTTTTATTAACTAATCTTCTTAGCATCCTGACATCGAGCTTTTGTTAACTGTTTTTTGCCTAAACTTGCACACCTTTAAGTACATAAAGTTACAGCCAGTTAGATGAGACAGAAAACCATACTTGGAAAATGTGTTATTTCAGTGATATTGTCATAAGAATAAATTACAGTTATTTATGTAAATTTACCTGACCCATATGGTACCTTATAGTAAGTACTCTTAAAATTCCTGAGGATTCAATCTCTCAGATCCTAAATACCCCCTCATATACCAAACTTATTTTAACAGTCGATTCTAACTTGTGCATTTTTGTGGTTTTTCAAGGTTTCCACATAGTTGGTAAATCTCTTTGCTCTCAGTAAGTCGCATTAAAAGTTATTAAACTTGCTGCAGGTCGAATAATTATATACGGTTATAGTTGCCGGTAATGCAGGTTCGTCCCTTGGAACACAAAGAGACTGGGAATCGGTAACCGATTTATTGAGTTCGCAATCAAAATTGGCATAACAACTAAAAATGAAAATATTTTATATTTCTTCACAGTGTGCTAAGGTTTGGTACAGTTTTGAGCAGAGGTGATAACTAAATTTGTCGTTGGTGTTGTCAGAAAATTTGGGTTTTAGCTGTAGAGTAATAGTCTCAAACCTATTTGTTTGAACTGTCAAACGGTTACGCTAGTTCTGGCACAAAATACAACTCAGTAATACAGTTCAGTTGTTAAGTACAAATTGATGCACTCGTTCTTATATGATGCTTTTAGTATATTTACTTTTTATTACCGCCTGGTTGTCTAAACCGTAGCTGTTGAATTTGCACCTACGATACAACAGTTTAAAACTGAGCATTTACTGAGTTGGATATATTAAATTGATTATAGAATGAAATTGTACTTTTTTACTCTTAGTGAAACATCCTCTATTCAGATGTACAGTTTTTGATGTATATATGTTTTTAACTTCTTTAAGATAACCAGATATCAGTAATTCATTAGGTAATCACAGATTATGAAGGAAATTAGGTCATATAGTTGAAGTTCTTAGGACTCCTGCAGACCAAGCATACGTTCATTCCTTACCTCCATTTTTTTAATGTCATAAACATTTCATTCAATACTTACTTAGTGCTTATCGACTTAGAGTCGTTCACAATGAACCGATATCTTACTCTATATTGAGTTTCAATTTTCTTCCATACACACCTTTCTATGATATCTTTTGGAACAATATTCTCAACGCTTAGTTTTTCTCACCATCGCCTCTACATTATCTTGATTTTTTTGTTATTCATCTTATCTTGCTTATATGGTATGACAGTTTGGAATAGCTCATATTTGTCCTAGTGTTCAGGTGAGCGATGTCTAATTGACTATTTCTCATCTAATTATTCATGAATTCTTGTTTGTTTTAAAATTTATCGCTCGTTTTATTAAATTCTTCAGAAAAAAGGGAAAAAACATGGTTGTCTTTAGGTGGTTGGAAGTAGATTATAGGAAACCCCCGGATCTAGGTTTTGTTCTATTTGGCACTCGTCATCAAGATGTACCTGTTACCTTAGCCATACCATTATTTTACTTTTCTCAATATAAAAATATATGAAGGGGTTTTGTAGATATTTTAGTAATTTTAATAGTTGAGATCATTAGTCGATTGAAGCTAGACCATCATGAAAAACCTGGAAGCACTGAACGGCAAGTTGGGATCGTGGATGCACACTGCTGAGAAGTCACACAATGGGGCGAAACGGCCAGATTTTCCATGGTGGTCTAGCTTCCATTGACTCATGATCTCAACTATAAAAATAGTCGTTAGTTCATCGGTCTTCGAGATTGTTGGATGTTACTGAGTTCACAAACTTGCACAGCTTGAACAACCGTTGTAAACGTAAAAGCACTGAACAATTATTGCACCTAGTGTTGGGCTCATCAGTAGTGGCATTCATGACCACTACCACAAAAGACGGAACCCAAAACCCTTGATCTCACGCGCAAACGCTTAACCTGTGAACCACAGCCAAAATTCAACGGTGTACATGTCTAACTTAGAAATATTTGTACTCACATACTTTAAAGTCTATCAAAATTGAAAGCTTCGAAGTACTTATTTCTATTTTTTCTCTTTGCTTTTTAAAGGATTTTGCATTTATTCTCTCTGGAATAACTCGTTTATTAAATAATCCATTAGTACAAACATATCTTCCTGGATCTAGCAAAAAAGTTCAAATGCATCAAGAACTTTTAGTGTTATTTTGGCGAATATGCGAATGCAATAAAAAATTTATGTATTATGTGTTAAAATCAAGTCAAGTATTAGATTTACTTGTACCTATACTCTATCATCTTAATAATTCACGTAATGATCAATGTAAGTTGGTTTCTTCTTTATTGAAGGAAGGTATACCATTATTACCACTGTTATTATTATTATGATTACTATTATTATAAGTAGATGTATAGCTTGTTTAAACATGAATTAATTAAGTTATTGAATATTAAAAGCTTTTTTAGTGTCTTACTTATACTTCAATCATGAATTACATACATAACTCAAAGAAGAAAAAATTTTCTTGTCGATTTAATATGATATTGACTTGTATTTGACATACTCATCGTTTTCACTGTCATCTTCGTTAATTTTGTTTACCTTATATACATACTTTTGTTGTTTTTTCCGAATACATACTGGATAATATCGTGTTCAATCTTTAATTTCATTATGTTCTTTTGAATTATTTGACACCATTCAATAAAACTAATGGTATTTTTATAGCTGAAAGCGTAGGCCCCCAAATGCCCTAGTACGATCGAGAGTGGGGAGAGTCACCTCTCCCTCTCGAAATACTCTCATATGGCCAGCGAATATATAGCCTCTGCCAGGGAAGTCCTACTCACTGCCTACTCGTGGCGGGGGTGTTGTTCACAAAAGTGAGAGGACGAAAAGCGAATGTCCGGCGCTTTAACCGGGTTGGTGGACACGGAGGGTTCACCTAGGGGAGTTGGAAAACCCTGATTCCAAACCAATGGTGCACATGGGTTCCAGTATCCTAATGGAACGAATGGCGGACGAACCTGTCATTGGTCAACGGCTACCATGGGACTGCATCTCCTCACGATGCTCCACTGCCTTGTGGATCAGACATTCAGGTCAAAGGCTCCGAGTGTGGCCCCCTAAGAAAACCATCTGCTTCAGTCTGGGCACCTGGGCAGTATCACAGCCCTCACACAAATCGAATGAGATTTGTGAGGCGCATATTTATCTGGTGCTTCATTGTACCAATATTTATGTGTTTAAATAAAATAAAAAAAAGCTGAAAGCTTGAGTCAATTGAAGCTAGACCACCATGGAAAACCTGGAAGCACTGAACGGCCGTTTCGTTCTATTTTGGGACTCCTCAGCACCGAAGATCCACAATCTCACCTCGCGAGATTCGAACCCAGGACTTACCAGTCTCGCGAGATCGTGGATGCGCACTGCTGAGGAGTCCCACTATAGGACGAAACGGTCTCCCAGTGCTTTCAGGTTTTGTATGTTGGTCTAGCTTCAATTGACTCATACTTTCAACTATGAAAATACTGGAATCTCCACAAAACCCCTTCTAATAGTTTTTTAACAATGTACAATATACTAAAATGGTATAATAGTAACTGTCAGGGTATTGTTGTTATCTACCCTAGTTGTTTTTGATGTAAGAAGGAATAAGTTCAACTAGTGGGATCTTTACAAGCATATTTCCTAAGTTTATGAAATTCTATGAAACGATATCTTTTCAGTGGATTTATTACCAAGTGATACTTTCGTTGAATTTTATATTTTTCATGTTTTAGTCAAAATTATAATGAAAGATGAATATAGTACATTTTCCTACAATTTGAAATTTGCATCAGATTTCTTATAAATTCATTTTTAAACAATGCATATTTCAACCTTTATAATACCAATTGAACTCATGCTCAAAAAATTATTATTTGGGAATTCTGGATCCTTAAGATAACTTTGTAATTCATCTTATGGGAATTGGAGTTGAATACTTTTTGTGCTGAAGTTAACTGCGTTACTAGTTTTCGTTTAATTCACACTTAAGAGAACCCTGTCATCATTTTGATTCGCTTATATTTTAGTATAATATTTTGATACAGGATCTTCAAGAGCGTTATGAATATAGTTACATACGCAAGTTGTACATTATAAGATCCTCCTTCATGTTGGTGTAATGAATTTTCTAGTATAAACTCGGATTCTGTCTGTTGTTATCGAGCAAGGAATAGGAGATTCGGGAGAATTCTTGTCCATTGGCGTTGAAGTCAGAGTTGATAAATTTTAGTTTGGGGTATAGATATTTTAGTTATCGATTCAAGTTAAAGAACGTAAATAACACAAGTTAAATAAAAAGAATTCCTTGGAAGGTAAATTTAGTAGTACCATTGGAGTGATGGTTTAGTGGTTAAAGCACTCAATTTTCAGCCAATAAGTCACATTTTGGAAACCTATCGGATCAGACAACTGGCTATTATCGCTTGACGTCACACAAAAATGTGACTTTAAGTCAATTATATGAATCTGTACTCTTTAAATGTGCCGTTCGGCTCCATTAGTTAAAATTTTTTATTAGCTTCCCAATATCATGGGTACTGTTATGACAGAATTATGAATGGGACTTTTCAAACCATTATTATTATTATTATTGTTATTATCATTATTATTATTTACATTCTTATCATATCGTTAGTAGAATAACTGTATTATTGTATTTCTATGTTCTCTTCATTGTAAGCTTCCAAGTCAACCTATTAACTGTCGTTATATCTTAACCTGTCCTGTAGTTATTGCTAATTAACTATGCACTGTTTGTTCCGTCTTATACCACTTATGGTATAATTGTGTCTATAGTACTATTCCTTATTTGGTGTACTGTGCGGTCTAATAATTCGTGTATATAAGCTAATGGATGTTTGAAATAGTTGTTGTTTATTCTGTATTGATGAAATGTACACAATATTTGAAGCTAGTTGTTGACTTCTCTTCGGACACAAGACAATGGATAGAGAAAAGTTTTTGAACAACGGAACGGTAGGAGTGTGGCTTGCGTTGGCTGAAAATTAACTGTTCAGGTCCGAACATACAGTTGGTTAATTTTAAGACACTGGGCTATATAGACGGAGTAGTTGACTCGTGGTAAAAAATTGTAGAATCCTGATTAGTGAATTTATCATGTGATATCAATTACTATCTTAATTCATAAACAAGTATTTCAGCGACACTAGATTTCTCTATACTGCTTAACTACCAACGCTAGCAAGTACACTCGGTTCCGTGGTGCTTTCTATGTATGACGACTTATAATAATATTCATCTTTTGAAAATCAGTAGGTTGGGGGTGAAGTTAGAGTCGGGTACCCAATGTTTATAGGTTAGTTAATCTGACCACTGATTTTTCCGTATACCACTATTTTGTTTCACTATTATACATTAGGATCAGTAACCGATTCTAATTAACAGCTGTAACATTATGATTTTTTCGTTACTACATCATTTCATAAACTTTACAGTACAAAACTCTATTTATGTCCATGCATTTTGTTTCTAATGAATTCAATTTCTACAAACATTGATATGCACCACTTTCAGACACCCTCACATCTTGTAATGATTATTCAATTTGTCATTTCATTATAATATTATTGATTTCTTTTTCTCTCAGCTCGTATAGGACTAATACATGTCGGTGTATTCATCTTATTATTACTTAGCGGTGAAAGAAATTTTGGTGTACGTTTAAATAAACCTTATCGTCATCGTTCCTTGCTAGATGTACCAGTATTTACAGGAACACATGCTGATTTATTAATCATAGTATGTAATGAATTATTATTATTTTTATAATCATTTGTTTGTTTAAAAATTAATGAACATTTTTCAATTCAGTAACTAGTAACTTCATAGTATGATATTAAAAGCGAATTCTCTACTCATTGAGTTGCTCGTTACCAATTTTGTAAACTTAATCATTACTTCTTTGCATATGATTCATGTAATATAATACTTGAATTCATTCATTAAATCACAGGTTCTCACACATTAATTAATTTACTTACTCCGCCGGCAGCTCTTCTAGAGTTACTGCCGGTCCAAAGCCCTGGTAAAGGAGGATGGTTGAGCATGGGGTCGACACCCCTATCCCGTAGAACAAAATCTTGCTTAAAAACGCCAAACAAATTAAACCATTCAAACTCTGCCCTGGGAGTTGAAGGAACAACTATGACGCCTCATGGTGAAAGCAGAGATTCTTCGGAAGTCACGAGACCAATGCCTCTTCTAACAACCATCTACTTACTGGTATCTCGTTAATTAGATTGTAGAGTTTTCATCTTCTTTAAATAAGCAGATCTTTGATGGTGACCTTTGTATGTATAAATGTGAACTGACTTTAGCTAGATCATCATTTATCAACCAGGAAACAGCGTATATCTATTCCACTCTTGTATGAACCATTTTCTGAATGTAGACTTACAACCTCTTCAGAAGATGGGCTCAGGGTTTGCTTTGGTCGAGTTAGTAATATATAGTAACCAATAGACTTCACCTGTGTCAAGTCAACCACCAGCGATGACAGTAAATAATGATCACTCAGTGTCGTAAATCGATCGAAAATAAAAATCTGAATCATCGAATTGCAACTTACTGGTTTATAAGTAACCTACACCCTTGCCGCAAAGTATAAAGGTCTCAATTTTCTATCTTCTACATGACCATGGGTACACGCAGCTATACAGCTATGCAAAATATTCACATGTCGCCAGTTTTTATTGGTTATTCAATGCCATATATACATGTAATCCAAAGCATCGTGTGAGTTTGACTTTATTCCTCATGAAATCTTTTTATTCATTCACTACAGAATTCAGTTATATTCACCTACTGATCAATAATGTTTATAGAATCTAGAAGTTTGTACTAATGAACAGATCAGTATTGTCAGAGTTGAAAAAAAAACATACTAATCATCGTCTACTCACTAACAATCATTTTTCTTACTACAATTCAGTAATCTATGTTACTTGTAAATTATAATCATCATCGTATAATATCCTGTCGTCTTTTATTTTGTTCTCCTACCGGTTCAGTTTTTTACCACCTGACAATTAATTTTCTTCAAACCTTATAGAACTCATGATTTATTATTATTATTATTCTAGGTCTCTCATAGATTAATTACAAGCGGACATAATCGTCTAAATCCTTTATTCGATTGTTTACTAACAATCATAGCTAATGGTAAGCCATCATATACATTTTTTAACCGTTTAATTAGATCTTATGTCATTGTCATACCATTGTATTTATAGTTTACAGAATAGACAGATAATTGTTTAAATGTTAAATTTGTCTGTATGTATCGGGTCTGTTGTTCACTCGAAAATTCCTTATGTTACATTTGCTTTACCATTCCACATTTTTATTTTGCAAAACTAAGATCACATTTTATACCGTATGTGCTTCGAGGTTACAGGGTATATATCATTGAAAAAATACAGACTAGTGACACCATCATGAATACTATTAGTGAGGAGGACGTAATAAGCTAATTTTAATACGTTATACTGTCAAGGGCGACGCTGATTTGAAATTGTAGATGTGAAGCAGTAGTAAGACAGTCCAAAACAATACGGCACAAGTCGATATTTTGTTATAGTGCGTTGATGATAGAAATCAATTGTAAGCAATGATTTTCCCCTTCCCCAACTGGAAACTTAGATAAACCATGTTACTTATATTACAGTGAATAATCGGAACTCAACTATCTACTTCAAAGCGGGTTTGGCGGATGTTTCGTTCACTGCAGAGAAATCTACGCCTGAGTTTTGACATAGCTACCATTATCTCTTGCTTACACGTGGAGAGCTGTTGAAATAGTTGAGTTATATAAAATCTATTCATGACCGTTAAAAAGCTCTCAAGGAAGGATATTCTGGAGTAATATCCTGTACTTATATGCCATGATTTTGAATGACATGATTTGTTTTATACTTAGTCATTGTTGAATAACTTGGATGTGAAACTGTAAAATCTCAATAGAATTCATCGAGTAGAATATCTGTTTCTGTTTCATGTGGGCTGGTTTTTTACGGAACGTTCTTCGACTTCAAGAGAGACGAACAAAACAGCCATTTTTTATTGCTTAACAATTATATATATATATATATATATATATATATATATATATATATATATATATATATCCTGTATTCTGATTGGCTAAAGGCTGTGAAAACTTGATCCGTTTCCATTTATTAGCAGTAGCTAAAGATGATCCTTTGTCAGTCAGTCAGTCAGCTACAACGTAGGACCAGGCACATATATGCATCGGTCCAAGTTGCCATACCTCATTAGCACAACAAGATGAACACCAGATTAATAGAAGTAATTAATTTAGTGGTGGTAATATATAAAAGAAAGGTTGTATATAAGGATATAGTACAGGAAGGGAGAGAGATATGAAGCAATTTTAGTTTCAAGGTTTAAAGGAAGATAAAGAGTGTATACACCTACGCCATTGTGATCGATTCTTAGCCATGTCACACAGAGTCTCCAACCATTGGTTACGATAGTCACACGGACCCCAACCAGGTAGTCTGCATCTGCCAACATGGCTCAGACTAGAAGTTAGTGACTTCAAACACTGATGCCATGTTTTGGTTTGGCCGCCCCTAACTCTCTTCCAACCATCCCAAATACTAGTCATCATAGCGCGTCGTGGTAATCGGGGTTCAGGCATACGTAAATCGTGGCCCAACCATCTCAGTCGATGAAAATTCATCACCTCATCAACTGATTTACCATCGTTCCCTATTACCCTGCGTCTAACCTCACTATTACTTACCCGGTTATCCCAGCAAATGCGAGCAATATTTCTAAGGCATCTGTGGTCAAATACTAGTAACCTACGAGTATCTTCTACTCTTAATGGCCATGTTTCACAGCCATAAAGTAGAACAGAGCGAACTGCTGCGCAGTATACTCGTCCCTTAATTTATAGACGGATATCTCGTCTTCGCCATAGGTGACGTAAGTTGGCAAAAGCCAAACGAGCTTTTTGAATCCGTGCTGAAATTTCGTCAGATACCAACCCATTAGGGCTGATCAGACTTCCAAGATAAGTGAAGTTGTCGACGCGTTCGACTACTTCACTCCCTATCCTTAGTTCAGGTGTTGACGCAGGCCAGTCCTGGAGTAACAATTTATATTTGGATGGGGAGAAACGCATCCTAAACATCCTGGCATTGTTACTCAGTTCTAACAGAAGACTGCATTTTGTCAGCGTCTTCACCAAACAGGACTATGTCATCTGCGTATTCTAAGTCGCTTAGTGGTCCCCCTGGTAGGAGATCAAGTCCTGTAAATTCAGTCGAAGAGAGTGTTATTTCCAGCAACAGGTCTATAATGATGTTAAACAAAAATGTGGATAGTGGACAGCCTTGACGGGCACCACTTGAGGTTGTTAAATCAGATGACAGTTCGCCATAAGCTCTCACTCGACTAATAGTGTTCGAGTAAAGAGCCTTCACAAGGTTTATGTACTTCTCAGGTACACCTTTCAATGACAGACACTGCCACAGAACCTCTCGGTCTACAGAGTCAAATGCTGCTTTCAAGTCAAGAAAAACTATCATTGTCGGACGCCGATAAGCATGTCTGTGCTCTAAAACTTGACGAATGGTGAATATGTGGTCGATACAGCCACGACCAGGTCTGAAGCCAGCCTGATTTTCTCGTGTTTGCAGTTCACGAGTCTTAGTTAGGCGCCCGATAATTATTGAGGCTAGTATTTTAGATGCTATGTTGGTCAGACTAATCCCTCTATGGTTATCGCAGGATGATTTTGACCCCTTTTTATATATTGGGACAATCAGTGATTGTGACCAGTCGGATGGGATTACATCCGTCTCTCAGATTTTAGCCAGAATATTAGTCAACCTAATCGCTAAAATCGGACCACCATATTTAAAGACCTCTGGAGCCAATCCATCTGGACCAGCTGCTCTTCCTCGTTTCAGATTACTTACAGCCTTTTGAACTTCAAGTAGGGTCGGGGGGCCTACTTCAATGTTCCATTCAGGTTTTCTAGGAGTAGTGGGTAGTTGTGCAGTAGCTGAAGGCCAGCTAAACTGCTCCTTAAAGTGTTCCGCCCATCGTTCTAAACGTTTGGGTTGAGAGCAGATAAGGGTTCCGTCTTTTTCGGAGATTGTCTCACTTACACTTGACTTCTTAATTCCGGTTTCTTTTATTAGTCTGAATAGTTGCCTGGTGTTCCCTACAGCCGCTGCCTTTTCCATCTCTTTTGCTTTCGTTGCCCACCACTGCTCACGATCATTCTTTAGACTTTTAGTTAACCTAGATCTAATTTGTTTACGCTCTTCGTCATGTTCAGAGCCTGATGGGATGAGTTTACGCGAATCCATCAGTGAAATAGACTTAGAAGAAATCCATTGGTTTTTTGGAGCCCTATGGTTTAAATGACTAATAGATGTAACTGCTGTTTCCACAGCTGTTCGTATGTCTTTCCAAGCAGCATCTGTGTCAGTTTTGTTTACAGAACTGCCTAGATGTGAACTCAGTTGTTCCTCGAATTCGCATTTGTCTTTCTCGTCCTCCAGTTCAATCCTAATGGGTCTTCTTAGTGTAATTTTCCTGCGTCCATTGAGGCGCAGATAAATGCGTGCTCGTATTAAAGCGTGATCAGAGTCTAAACAAGTATTCCAATACGAGCGACAATCTTCTATTGAGCCTCTCCAACGATGACTGATGACAATATGGTCTATTTGAGTCCATCGTTGGTTTGGTGCTGGTGGTCGCCATGTTAGACGATGTCTCTCCTTATGCTTAAAATTAGTGCTTGCTAGAAATAAACGATTGTCTGAGCATAGTTGCAACAGACGATCACCATTATCGGTTCGTTGAGCCGGAATACTAAAACACCCACCTAAATGTCTTTCTGTTTGATTTAAGCTGCCTACCTGGGCATTAAAGTCACCCGCTACGACTACTATGTTTGAGCGCTTAGCTTTCTGTATGCATTTATTTATTTAAACACATAAATATTGGTACAAGGGGGCACCAGATATATATGCGCCACAATTTGTATGTATAAGTAAGCCAGACAACTGTAAGCAATGTATGAACCTGACACAAATGTATCGTTTCAAGTTGATGCACGATATTAGCACAACGTGATAAAATCGTCAAGAAAAATGTTTTGCATTGGTAGTAGCAACACGATCAGTGGTCATAGAAAACACTACATATAAACAATATGATTCGAGAAGAGAACGTGAATTTGCTGAATAAAAGTTAGAGATTATTTGGAAACTCAAAATCTAAGAGAAAAGTGAATGCATCTTGACCTTTCTAACCACTTCTAAGCCATATCGTTCAGCACCTCCAATCACTGGTCACTACCATCGTACGATTCTGAACCAAGTCCGTACAAGCGAAATTTATCACATTCTCAAGCATTTAAACGGAGTAGGATAATAACTAGTAGTGAAATTCAAGTCTCGCGTTCTGCTCTACTTGGGACTTGTCAGCTGGATATACCTGGGTCCCAGTTTTGAAATTCACATAAAAACTCAAACCCAGTACCTTTCGCTTCTAAATCCCACCTCATTATCCACTTAGCAACAAAGTCCAGGCAGCTGTTGGTTTCTGCAACTAGGTAAATTTAACCTTTTTTATTGGTTGATTGCCAAAAAACTGATCCACTGCAGTCCATATAACATCAACAGAAAGACTAAAGCAACCAAGTGAAATGAAGTTACCATAATCTTTTTATTACAAATTTCACTATTGTTTTATCTACCGTTTATTCACAACTCTTATTGAAGTAGTTAATGTATCCTGCTTCTCTTGTATGTTTATTTTCTCCCAAAAATCTTTTTCTCCCAACTAGTTTCACCTTACTTGAAAAGTTTATCAATGGTATCATCAAACAAAATATTGCATTTATTGGATGCATTCAGTCAACCATGGTTTTTGTACAGTAATCCGTCAAATCATCAGTTGGTATTTCTGTTATTAGAAGTATTCAATAATATTATTCAGTATCAATTTGATGGTAAGCAAGTTTGAATTGTCTATTCTCATTTTCTTTATTTATCCTTTTCAACCTCCAGTTTATCGTTAGTTTTATAGAGCGACAGTCTGGTGGTTAAAGCATCTGACTTTCAACCAGCAATTTGCGGGTTTGGACCCCCCGCCACGTCAATTTTGGCAGCATTATTATCTTTCAGACTTAGTCTTTCATAAAATATGTTTTGATCCAATCTGTCCTGCTAATAACCATAAATACAAAATACTCTCTTATCTGTTAAGAGATATTACTAACAATTTATCTGCTTAATCAGTTAGGTTTCATTACCTTTTAAAAAACCTCACTGTTTTGTTCTTCTCCTGTCTTGTATTCCCTGACCATGACATCTTCACATGACTCCTCTCCAAATCAGAACAAAAATTATAAGCGAGCAAATACATTTTGCAACAAAGCTGAACAATGAAAATACAATAGGGAAATGTTTGAGTTTGTACGAATTTACGTACGGATCTTTTAGGTTGTCGATTCGCTCGCTCGCATTCTTTGGTTAAAAATAGAGTGATCAGCTTTTCCTACTTTTAGCCTGACCAGATAATGCAATATTCAGGACTTTTAGCTAGCCCTAACCAAGTACATGTTTATATACTTTTCTTGGAGATGTAGTTTTAAATGTGAGAGCTGGTGATACCATTTAGCTGTCCATACCAAACTGGGTGGAACAATTGTTCGAATCTGCAACCTAGCGGTGCCTGTAAGCTGAATCTCTTATATCACTAAGCCGCTTTTTCAGTATATGGTATTTGTTTTTGTGTAAATTCTTCTGTACCTCTACGTTAGTCACGCAAGATTAAGTTGTACTATTCGTGTTGTAAATATCGTGAATGATATCTAGTTCTCTCGAAAATTACCCTCTCTTAAGATTTATTAATAATTATGAGTTTTTTAAAACATTGACTCAGTGGTTAAGACATTTGGCTTTGAGCCACTAAATATCAGGTTGCAACTCCACTCTACCCTCTTTGTTTTGGGCAACCGGTTTATTTATTTGAACACATAAACATTTATACGAGGGGGCACTAAATACATATGCTCCACACAATAACAATGAGGCCAGTAGCAGTTCTCATTGATCTGTATGAGGGCTGTGATACTGCCCAGGTGACCAAACCGAAGCAGGTGGTTTTCTTAGAGGGCCACCCCGAGCCTTTGACCTAAAGATCTGATCCACAAGGCAGTGGAGCATCGTGAGGAGATGCAGTCCCATGGTAGCCGGTGACCAACGATTGGTTCATACACTATTTGTTCCCTCAGGGTGCTGCAGCCCATGTGCACCATCGGTTTTGAATCAGGGTTTTCCAACTCCCCTAGGTGAACTCTCCGTGTCCACCAACCCGGCTAAGGCACCGGACATTGGCTTTTCGTCCTCTCAATTTCGTAAACACCACCTCTAATGCGAGAAGGCAGTCAGTAGGACTTCCCTTGCAGTGGTTTTATACATGTGGCCATGTGAGAGCATTTTTAGATGGAGAGCTGTCTCTCCCCGCCCTTGGCCGTACCAGGGCATTTTGAGGCAACCGGTTAGAATCACTACACTTCACATAAAGTGTAGCTTAAAGCCAATTACATGAATATGTACACTTGGTAGATGAGTTGATAATCTAATTAATTCAATGTTTCAGTTATTGTCAGCTATTAAATTTGTAGAACCTTAGCTTCATATTTTCGAAATACTTATCATCTACACACGTATGTACATTCAGGTTTGGATTTCATTGTGCCAGCAAGGAAGATTTCACAACAACTTCTAACCAATCTAGTACTTTTCTTCTATCCATATCAAATAAGTTCTTGCTTTGTGGTTATTTTATCGCATTAACCTTGTTTATATTTCGCTTTATTTCTTATTTTTCCTTCTCTCTCTCTTTCCAGGTAACAGCAATTTAGTATATACTATAATTAGGAAACGTCAAATATTCTATCGGCTAGCTAATTTACCCACTGATCAACCTACTATTAATAGTATAATTAATAAACAAATGAAATCTCAATGCAGTGGTCATATTACAATGGAATCTACTACTACAGTTCCTACTAGTACTTCATCTCTAGCATCTAGCAACAGTGGTGGGATTAAAAAATCTGTTGATACTTCTGTTTGTAAACCTTTACCAATATCGGAAATATCAAAATCGTCGTCCACTTCCACTTGTTTATCCGGTGAATCATCCGTTTATCATAATAACGATAATGATAATGTTGATAGTAGTAATGTTGACAATTCAAGTCTTGTCGAGTCCATGGATCAAGTATCTTCTCGGGTTTGTTTTGTTTCGTTTATGTACTGTTATTCTTCCTACCTCGACTATCATCTGTAAACTTCCTCTTTTGACTTCCTTCTCAAGTGTCACTATGTTGTCGGCGTAAATCTGATTCTGTCTATACTCGTATATAATAAATGACTTTATTCCGCGTTGGTGAACAACGGAGTTAAATAAGTCAAATACGAGAATGGATTTAGAATACATATAATTTCTACACTCATTGGTCTGGCCGGGGAATCAGAGTGTTGAGGCGAATAGATGAGAGCGGAACGAAGCAAAGATCATGCGCAATGGAGATTGTCTGGGAAGCCAACTCGATTTAAGCAAGCGTTAATCAACATTTATAGTCGGACAAAAATGAGTGACAGACATACGATGAATAAGATACGAAGTGTACACATATATGCTCATAGAAAAGTATAGTCAAGGTTAATAAGCAAATGATTAACAAGATCAAAATATGACTCATAATGGATAGGCGAATTGGCTTGGCCAGCAACTAGAATAAAGTATATGGGCTTAACATATAAACCGATACTACAACTATAGCCAACGATTCTTGTGCTCGAAACACTGTCTCAGGTCTATTGAAACCTCACTCCGAACTACACATTGGATCTTTCAACGTACTTACCCTATGTCCGATCGGTAAACATGCCTCCTTGACTAGGACCCTAAAATCTCGTACCATTGATGTATGTTGTGTCTCCGAAACACGCATACAAGATCCTAGTGTGGTCGTTCACTTGACATCACCCAGCCAAAACGAAGAGCTGATGAGATACACACTCCGTTTATCTGGTGACACGACGGCAAGTCCTTGTGGACTGGTCGCTGTAGGCATAGTACGAAGTATGAGGGCAGAAGAAGCACTATTAGAATGGATCCCTGTTAACAGTTGCTTATGTGCTGTTCGGTTAAACAGCTCGATAAGAACTCGGAAGGATAGGGACACACGTCGTCGTTGCCTTTTCTTCATTTCTGCCTACACTCCCACTGAAAGCAGCCCATATGAAGTGAAAAGTGATTTTGACAAAAATCTTCCTGAACCTTTTCAAAAAATTAAAAACTTAGATGTAGTACTTGTAGCAGTGACTTTAATGCCCAGTTAGGTAGCTTAAACCAAACAGAAAGATATTTAGGTGAGTATTTTAGCATTCCGGCTCAGGAAACAGATAATGGTGAAACTGTACTCAGGCAATAGTTTGTTTTTAACAATCACTAATTTTAAGCATATGGTCTAACATGATGACCGCCTGAACCAAACCAACGATGAACTGAAATAGACCATATTTCCATCAGCCATTGGTAGAAGACTGTCGTTCGTTGTGTAATACATGTTTAAACTCTGATTATGTTCTAATGGGAGCGCGTATTCGCTTGCGCCTTACTGGATGCGGGAAACCATATTAGGAAGACCCATTAGAGTTGAACTCAATGACGAAAAAGATGATGTTAAATTCTAGAAATCGACCTCTTACCAGGAGGCCCATTTATTGACTTTGAATACAGAGATGACATAGTCCTGTTTGGTGAAGACGCTAATGAAATACTGAGTTTTTAGTAGCACTGATCAGCAATACCAAGGATGTTTGGGATGCGTTTCTCCTCCTCTAAATGCTTGTTGTTACTTCAGGACTGTCCTGCGTCAACACCTGAACTAAGGATAGGGAGTGAAGTAGTCGGACTCATCGATAACTTCCCTTATCTTCGAAGTTTGATCAACCCTAATGGGTCGGTGTCTGACGAAATCTCTACACGGATTCAAAAAGCTTGCTTGACTTATACCAATTCACGTCACCTATGGCGGAGTCGAGCTGTCCGTCCATCAACCAAAGAACGAGAATACTGCGCAGCATCACGTTATATTCTACTTCTTCTATTTTAAAGTAGGAGATACTCGTAAGTTACTAGTATTTCTAGTATATCTTAGAAATATTGCTCGCAACTCCTGGGATCACCAGGTGAGTAATAGTGAGGTTAGACACTGGGTATTAGGAAATGATAGTAAGTCAGTTGACGAGGTTGTGAATCTTTATCTACTTAGATGGTTGGGTCTTGTATTATTCATGCCCGACCACCGATTACCATGGCGTGCAATTTATTTATCGAGATTGATCACTAGACTTCAACTATGATGTATCATCGGCGTGCCCGTCTCCATGCTTTGTTTACGAATTTGTAAGGCAATGTACACTTCTTTCATTGGTTGCATGCCGTAAGTTCCATAATACCAGCATAAATTAGATCAATGGGCACTTGGTTGACATCTCAACCTGCATTTTGATTTATGTCTTAGGATGCAGCATCTTATTACTAGCATTATTCCTCTCTTATGGTCATAGACATGCATTAAGTTCCTAAGGCTTTACAACGTTATCAAAGTAATAATAATAAAAGAGTATTGGATACCGGGTTCTTTTGAGAAACTTTATACTTTAATGTGCGCACATATCTCTTAACAGTTGTGTTGAAAGGTCGCTCAAAGGAATCGCACACGACGGTAGCTACAGAAGAGGCTTTTCAACTCCTAAAAGATGCATTAAGCTCTACAGCTATTTCTGCTCGAAGACAGGTTCAATAATTGGTGAAAGTGAAATACTCTTACCTCTTCAAAGTAGTAATTATGACTGTATGCTAAAATGTACCGGTTTTATGCGAGATTTTATTGCTTCCTTTCTCTTTAAAGTTTATTTTTATGATAATTTACTGTATGATATTAAGTACTTTTTCATCCAATTATATAGTTTTACCATCTAGATATTATTCATATTAATATTTATCGCTTTGCTCAACATTATATGTTTAGCTTAATTTTGGATTCTCAGCATCTGGGCAGTCTGTTACGCGACCAACCACGGGCATGAAAAAATTTGATCTCCAAGTAATTCGAAAGAAGACCGTGACACATCATCTTATGAAGCAGTTGCGGGTTATTAATTGACCATGTAATGACTAAAATCTTACAAAGTTCAGCACCTTAGAATTCTAAAGTTTACAATTGTAGTCGTCACTATCTTCTTCTTCCAATGTTCTGTATAGGTGACTAAATCATATATCACCTTCACAATGCTGTGTCTCACAATAAAACAGTCCAGAAATGGGTTTTACATCTACGAAAAGCTAAATGACGGACAGCAAACTTTTTACGTAAAATGTTGCAATATCATTTAGCTCCTCCTTTGCTCAAAGCTTTAGTACATTTATGAACGACCAGAGATGATTCAAACCAAAGTACAATTCGAATAGCAAAAACTAAACTACAGAAAGCATTTTCGTAAACTAACATTTATTTCTTTAAACTTTCATAATTTTATTTTTCAGTGATATTGCCCTTCGAAAATATTCTTTTTTTTCGATTTTTTTTAATCAAGTTAAATGAAATAAAGGTGGTTGGTAAACCTAGTGATTCGATTCAAGCCAGTCTAGCAGATGTTCCTCCATTACATAAAATGACAGGTAAACGTTTAGGCAATGCTACTCAATTAGATGAACGTTTCTCAAATTACCATGCAGAAATTGAGAATAATTTAATATCACATTCTTCACCTAGTCAGCGTACTCCAGTGGATAGTACTAATAATAATAATAACGATGAATCTGATAGAGATTTAACAATACATAATGTTCAAGAATACCCAATAAATAGATCTGGAATATCAGAGAGTTCTGTAAGTTATCCAGTTTTTCTCTGTCTGCCTCTTATATAAAAAACAGTTTTTTTTTTGTAGATTTTATTGGGTCCCGTGTGATGGAGCAGCAATCATGAAAATTAGTTGTCTGAATCTCTCTCTTTTTTAGTCCGATTATCAATTAGTCCATGTATATTGGCTATAGGATTGATATCCTCTTAAGTACCGATTGACATACCGATCAATGAATGGTAATAATGATGTTAACGTTTATCGGTCCTCAAGAACTCTCCAACCCCGTTAGAAACAAAGGTAGAAAGCAGATCAGTTCTCTGTTGTACTTAATTTGATCATGACTTAAAACTCATACCTTCTATGTCTGACCACATAACAACATACTTAAGGAATTACAATGTTTATATAGCTTAGTCATAAATGATATAAAACAAAGGGGAAATATTCGATTAATGTAAAATTTGGAACAATAAAATGTTTGACTTCGATTTACAGGTCAAACGAAATCTTAAGAATAGAAGAATATAAAAATACAACAGTTTAAGCGTCTATTAATTAAACAGTGAAAACATAAGTGGTAATCCTTCATATGTTACTCCCACAAGTTGTAATTTCACACTACTCGTCTCATTATATCAGTCTTTCTGGCGTCAATTATTAAAATGTATCAATCCATTTCATTTGCCATTTAACGCATAATCTTGAAGTGTCAATATATGTAAACTGTAAAAATAAACTTCGTTTCGAATTGTCTATTTATATTTGTTGACATTGTTAGATTCACAGCCTATCAATAACTTTACTTTTTGAGGGTAGTTAACAAGAAATCCTACACCTAAGTTTTCCTTAGCAAGTGGTGTTATAAATTTAAAAAATGAAAGGCCGTCTGGCAATTTGTTGTGATTTTATGTCCGGCTTTTTGTCACGTGATTTACTCACCAATCGAAATACCACTTGTCTAATCTTAGCACTGTGCCAAATCAATGACGTCCAACCGGTGTGTTATGCTTGACACTAAATCGATTCCGCGGTAACGAACGAAAGCCAATGACACAATGACACGATGAGCTATTCTAATCGGTTGTCCCTGGCCCCGCTAACTAGATGAAAAAGTCCAAGGCAAGTAGGGGGATATATATGTATTCCGTAAGCAGCCGAGTACAAGCAATCAAATAAGGGGAAAAGTCAAGCGCATTTATACAGTAACAAATTGTCCTTGAGCATCATTAGTAAATAGCACACATAAAGAAACAATGGACCAATAGCGGTTAAGATAGTTTACAGGTGGGAAATATGACGTGAAGGTAAAAAGAGCGCTTTTGGCGCGAAAACAGCTAAATTCAAATTTTAAAAATAAACTACAAGATTAAGCCATTTACCAAGTAAGTTCTGGGGATTTGACATCCCCAACACGGTGTGAGCAGCCTAGCGTCCTTATTGGTCCTTTATCCGCCTAGCCCTTCCAATTGAGTTCAGAACATCAATTGCAGCTTCTGTTATGCGAATCATTTATTTCAAGCATACTCGGTTTATATACCAGACAGACAGACCACATCACACCATAAAATAGAAAATAATATTTGTACAAAATCAAGCCAAATGTGGCTGTGAGCGTGGGAGACAATAATCAATAAACTGAGTATAATTTAGGAACAGTAAATCGTATAATAATAATCAATAGGTCAAAATGAAGCTTATAATAAGATTAATATAGATATACATAATCTAGTTACTGAATAGTTATACAATAGGAATATACATAGAATAATCGTCCAATAATAGGTCCCGTAAGTTATCCGTACTTACTTCTTCACTAGGATATGACAGGTAGCAACCGTCATCGAAGTGTATTTGCAGTCTTAAGAGAACTGATAACCTCTATGAGATCGGGATGCATATCATTCAGTTTTACAGTTTAAAACATTATTAATGAGTTGTTTAAACGGACTATGATTAACCTTGAGTTGAACTGAAATATTCGCAAGTGTTTAGCGAATAATTATCATGTTTACCTAGTCTGTTGAGTGTTGATCGAATTTCTGTCGATCAGTTAATTTTTGTTAAGAATATAAGTTCTTTATTTTAATAATAATATTCTGTTCATTGTTCGTTTTTTTCATCAGCTGACAAGTACAAATCAGACGAAAGAAACACAAAACAGTTCACTATTAACTTCTGATGCACAATCTTTTCATTCCATTGAAACAATCACATGTAAACAAAGTAATACATCTCATTCAATGAATGATAATAACGACAAACTACAAAAATTAAATGAAATAAATTCATCAACTTGGGAACCAACATCAGAATGGGTTCATAGTTGGAAATTAAAGATGCCTTTTCAAACAATTATGCGTTTATTACAAGTATTAGTGCCTCAAGTTGAAAAAATCTGTATTGATAAGTAAGTTCTATTACTGTTACAACTTGTCATTAGATTAAGGTTTTTTTAATATCTAATGGTAAAATATGGTCAGTTATAAGTAGTGTAGAAATTTGCTTGTATGTAGATCGATCCAAGTTTCCTTTTCATGTAACTCAAGGTGACTTGGCAATGCCATGTTCGTCAGAGCCATCCGTTTTCTTCATTTTTATCTAACTCTGTCATATAAATTCTTTAAGAGATAACGTTCTCTTCGTTTGACTTTTCAAGAGATTGATTTCTTGACTTAGAATACGTAAATGGTATAGTTCTGTTTGGTGAAGATGCTGACAAAATCCAGAGTCTTCTGACCTCTAAGCAACAATGCAAATGTGTTCGGGATATAATTCTCTCTTTTCAAATGCAAAATGTTGCTTCAGGACTGATAAGCATCAGTGTCTGAATTAATAACAGGGAGTGAATTAGTTGAGAACACTGATCATATCGCTTATCTTCGGTCCTGACGAAATCTCGGCACTTATTCAGAAATTTCTATTGGCTTTTTTCAACCAAAGAACTAGTTTGCTGCTCAGCACTTCGCTCTATTCCATTTTATGACTGTGAAGCGTTACCTTTAAGAATACAGTATATTTGTGGACTACTTGTATTCGACCATATGTATCTTTGAAACATCGCTCGTGTATTTCGGGACCACTAACTAAGCGATGTCGAAGTTAGGCAAAGGGTGTTATTCAACTTTGGAAATTGGGTTGATGATGTAGCAAATCTTCAACTGAGCTGCTTGGAACATGTGTTACATATGCCTAACCACCATCTACCTCGACAAGCGATGTCGTCTAGCGTAGGAGTGGATTAGAAAACAACTGATGTTGGCCAAACCAAGATGTGTAACCAGTTCATGAAGTCATTAACAATGGGACTGAGTCATGTAAATAGGTGTAGACTACCTGATAAGGATGTGCGAAAACCACAATGTGTTAGCTCCGTACTTTAGAACAGTTACCGTGGGAGACGAAAAGTTATGAGGGAAGTCGCTGACCTTGTCTAACCCCCTTCCGCTTTGAAGCGGTAACACCGCTACAGATGCTGATTATCATTATTGACGTCACATCCTTATACAATCGGTTGAACAACTTTGCCGTCAGACTGCAAGACTGCTGCTTTATTCTTAAGTATCTGTCAAGTCTGATACTTAATATAGTCTGATGAAGAACACAGAATAAACATTTTAAATATTTAATAATTGAATTCATGAGTCAAATAAAACTAAACTACCATGGAAAACCTGTAAGTACTGGACTTTGATTTGGACAGACAATCATTGTCACTAACTATCATCATAGTTGAGCCTACGGTCATGTATGTGGACGTTTTAAATCAATTGTAGTATTGAATATTTTAGATGTAATTCTATTATTGGGAAATGCAGCTCGATGAAAAAACAAGACACAATAGCATAATGTGTTAAAAACAGTTGGGAAAACTGATTACAATACTTGGAAAAAAACTTATAAGCCACATCGAATCACCACCATATCATATACATTCGAGGCCTATCGATTTCGAGTGTCTGTTTACTCATTTATTTACTGGATAGTAAGAGGCGTAAAATATCCTATGTCTGGCGCTACTCGAAGTCGTTCGTCTAGAATGGAAGTTCACTGAAAGTTAAGTGCTTTCGTATTCTGCCCATATCATAATGAGTAAAGTAGAATGAAGAGTGATTTAAAAGATATATAAATCAGGTGGATGATTTCGGTGTTGTTTGATTTTCTAAACAATTTGGTTTATTGGTGGAGATGTTATTGTCATTCTGGACAACAATGGCTTCGTCATTCAACCATTTAGTTCCGAAAACTCAACAATATCTAGAGAATGGAGAGTTGTATGCATGGGATGATTAATTGTGATGACCAAGAAGTTTAGTTTCTCACTCCTCTCTCAATGTACAAAACACATTCCATTTTGTTCCACGGTAATGACTCATTAAAGTATGGAAACCTTTTGTTTCGTTATTTTAGAGGATTAACAGATGAAACTGAGATTGTTCGTTTCCTTCAAAATGGTACTCTTGTTGGTTTGTTGCCGGTACCACATCCAATACTTATCCGTAAATATCAGTCAAATACTGGTACAACCATATGGTTTCGTAATTATATATGGGGTATAATATATTTAAGGTAAGTCTAGGCATTGCGTATATACCATCTATCGTTTTAACAACGATAATTTTCGTAATCTGGAAGTGTATTTTTACTTTTTAGCTAAAGTTATGCTTGCTTTGACGCGGGATGTTTGCTGGCGTGAGGAAGTGGACTGGTAGAAAGTGTCTAGAGGCTTCCAAATCAAGATGTACCATCAGTCCATGAAATCATTGACTGTTGGAATGAGCCATGTAGCTAGGTTATAAATTAGCATGAGGAAATCAAATTAAGATTAAAACTTAAAAGTTAGGGTTTTCATCACGAAATGACATCAGCTATTATGCTCAGATGCTATTTAACCGTATAAATGAATAAATCTTGCGCCAAAATCCAATACTTGCTATCTTTGCTTTCATTGATTCGTCCATAGATTATTATAGTCTTATCGATAGACATTGATAGGTAGGTAGGTATTTAGGTAGCTTCATAAAGTGTTGTACCCAAAAATGAACTCCCACTTAAGATTCACTGATTTTATTCATAGTATATTCATCCAAGTGGTTTATGTCACATTTCTAGATGTCATTCTAAAGTATGTTATACTTACGTACTTACGCCTGTTACTTCCAATGGAGCATAGGCAGCCGACCAGCATTCTCCAACCAACTATGTCGTGGGCCTTCTTTTATAGTTCTGTCCAATTGTTGTTCATTCTTCTCATGTCTGTCTCCATTTCTCGACGTAATGTATTCTTTGATCTTCCTCTTCTCCTTTGGCCTTCAGGATTCCATATGGAAGCTTGCCTTGTGACGCAGTTGGCTGCTTTCCTCAATGTGTGTCTTATCCACTTCCAGCGCTTCTTTCTCCACTGAAACCTGGTTTGTTCTCTCTCGCAGTAGGTTGTTGCTGATAGTGTTTGACCAACGGATCCGAAGTATCTTGCGTAGACAACTGTTTATAAACACCTGTATTTTCTGGATGATGGCTTTCGTAGTTCTCCAGGTTTCCACCCCATACAGTAGAACTGTCTTGACGTTTGTATTGAAAATTGCGATCTTGGTGTTGGTTGACAATTGTTTTGAGTTCCAGATGTTCTTCAGTTTTAAATAGGCTACTCTTGCTTTGCCGATCCGCGTCTTCATATTTGCATCAGAATCCACCTTGTTCATTGGTGATGCTGCCCAGATATGTAAATGTTTTTGCATCGCACGAAGCTTCTCCGTCAAGTGTGATTCGATTGGTGCATGTTGTGTTGTATCGGAGAATCTTATTTTTCCCTTTGTGTATGTTGGAACCTACTGTTACACTGGTCATTTTCTCCTGCATTTGTTGTTGCATGTGAGATAAAAGAGCCAGATCATCTGCGAAGTGTAAATCGTCCAGCTGCATCCTAGCTGCCCACTTTATCCCGTGCTTCCCTCCAGATGTTGACGTCTTCATGATCCAGTCGGTCACCAGGGGAAAAAGAAAGGGTGAGAGTAATCAACCTTGACTGACACCGGTCTTTACCTCGAATGAGTCGATGAATTGTCCTCCATAGACGATTCGGCAGTTTAATGCATCACAGGAATTCCGTATGATATTGACTATCTTCTCAGGCACGCTGTAGTGTCGAAGAAGTCTCCATATTGTTGTCCTATCTATGCTATCCAATGATTACTCGTAGTCAATGAAGTTGATGTAGAGTGATGAATTCCATTCAATTGATTGTTCCACAATGATCCATAGAGTTGCGATTTGGTCTGTACATGATCGAGTCTTACGGAATCCAGCCTGTTGGTCTCGAAGTTGGGCGTCTACGGAGTCCATCATTTTGTTTAACAACACCCTGTTGAAGGCTTTACCTGGTATTGAGAGAAGAGTGATGCCCCTGTAGTTATCACACTAGCTGGGGTTAGCGACCCTATGCCGTAGAAAACTAACTCGCTAAAATATATTATAATGTACACAATATTTATTTACATATTTTAACATCTTGATTGTCATATTCTTATTTGAATAAATTCTATTTATTAAAATTATCTTTAAACACTTACCAGTTAGGATTTAATTTTTTATTTATTTATTTAAACACGTAAATATTAGTACAAGGAGGCACCTAATATACATACGTCACACTTCACCATTCGGTTTGTGTAAGGGCTTGAATTACTAACAGGGCTCCCAAACCGAAGCAGTTCGTTTTCTTAGCAAGCCACTCACCAAGCCTTTGACCTGAAGGTCTAATCCATAAGGCAGTGGAGAAACTTTAGGAGATGTAGTCCCACGATAGCCGGCGACCAACAGTAGGTTTATAGGCCATTTTTCCCCTGAGGATCCTGGAACCCATGTACACCATTAGTTTAGAATCAGGATTTCCCAATGTTGTAAACGTATGACTTCAATCATTTTGTGATATTGCGTGACTGTCTTCTATTATCCTTATCGGATAATTATCTCACATTTAATCTCGTGTGATGAGTCCCATATTAGGACGGGACAACTGTTCTTCAGTGCTTTTTGGTATTCAATGTTTGTTTAAGTAAGATCTATGCGTAGTACAAATTATGAGACTTGAACACTTCATAAACTCCCTTTATACTTATATCTTTATTTCTTTATATTCATAGGAATATCACTCCACCTATCTGGTATGAAACCAATGTTCGTCTATTCGAAATCCATCGAATTTAATACTATGTCCATAATATAATTAACTAATTACCGAATTGAAAATAAGTATTCATTAAACAAAAAAACTTCTTTTTGCTAATAGTCTATGTTTACTTGTTTGTTTTCTCATTTCATTTCATTATTACGTTTATACATACATCATGTGTTTTAATAAATAGATATATCCACTGTGTTAAAAAGAATACAGTTATAGACTTTATTTGTGTACTACTTACTCTCAAGTGTTGGTTTTGTCTGGGTTTTTTTTTCATCTTCATTAAATTACAACAACATTCTTTTCAATTCAGTTTGTACTTATTCATACTACTGATAATATACGTATATATATATATATATATATATATATATATATATATATAAAATTCATATCTGTGTACTTTTAAAATATCAATCTATTCATGCTATTGTTATTATATTCTTTCATACTCCGGTTCGAAAACTTTCAGCATTTTGTCTGTTTTTTTTTCATGTATTGAACTATTGGTTGCTCATTGTAATCTCTAGTTCATTTGTTTCTTTGTTTTGTATTTGTGGTGTTTTTCTTTCTTCTGTATTGTGTGATATATTTAAACATTGTTTATGTATCTATTATAAAAGAAACACTGTGATATTGTCTATGTGAATACACATGCACCTCAGTAATATCTGTATTGTAGTATTTATGGTTTATAGATTATTCTGTAGACTTCTAAAATAAGTTTTCTGTACTGTGTGGATATTCTCTCTCTGGAAACAATACATTTGATTGTGAGCAAAGATGGATAGTGGCTAGCAGTGGAATCCAAGACGCGCGTTTCGTTCTATTCGGGGCTCGTCAGCTGAATAAACCTGCATCTCAGAGTTGATGTTCACTCTGGAACTCGAACCCATTACCTTCGCGCCGAGTGGATAACGCCTAGGCATATGCCTATGTGTTGTTCGGCTAAACAGCTCCATAAGAACTCGGAAGGATAGGGATACACGTCGTCGTTGCCTTTTCTTCATTTCTGCCTACACTCCTACTAACTGCACCCATATGAAGTGAAAAATGACTTTGACAAAAATCTTCCTGAACCTTTTCAAAAAATTAAAAACTTAGATGTAGTACTTGTAGCAGTGACTTTAATGCCCAGTTAGGTAGCTTAAACCAAACAGAAAGATATTTAGGTGAGTATTTTAGCATTCCGGCTCAGGAAACAGATAATGGTGAAACTGTACTCAGGCAATAGTTTGTTTTTAACAATCACTAATTTTAAGCATATGGTCTAACATGATGACCGCCTGAACCAAACCAACGATGAACTGAAATAGACCATATTTCCATCAGCCATTGGTAGAAGACTGTCGTTCGTTGTGTAATACATGTTTAAACTCTGATTATGTTCTAATGGGAGCGCGTATTCGCTTGCGCCTTACTGGATGCGGGAAACCATATTAGGAAGACCCATTAGAGTTGAAATCAATGAGGAGAAAGCCAAACGTAAATTCCAGGGACAACTGAGGTCACATTTAAGTAGTTATGTTATTATTTTTTATTTATTTAAACACATATATATTGGTACAAAAGGGCACCAGGTACATATGCGCCACACAAAATAATGAAAGTAGGAAGAGAAGGGATGAAAAGATAAGGCGGACTATAATGTACAACCAGAAGACTCTTTCAAATAGGAAAGTAAGAACCATACTTTATGTAGAAAGTAAAAGAAGGTTGCAGCAGGATCGCCACTGGCTTCGATTCTGAGCCATATCTGATAACGTCTCTAGCCACTGTGTTGCACCATCTCTCGGACCCCAACCAAGGAGTCGTGAAGGACCAACAGAAGCTAGCCCTTTGCAGCTTTCTTTCATGCCACGACACCATGTCATACACTGACCTCCTCTCCGCTTTTTCCAACCAGTCCCAGAGTCGGCAAATAATGCACGACGTGGAAGTCTCTGGGACGACATTCGTAAAACATGTCCAAGCCACCGAAGTCGGTGTTTCAAGATGGTGACACCAATTGAATTATCGTCTCTGCGCCCGAACACACGATGCCGAACCTCTGCATTACTAACATGGTGTTGCCACTGGATGTCAGCAATCCTTCGGAGACAACGATGATCGAACGCAGAGACGTCTAACATCCTCAACTCGGAGAGGCCAGGTTTCACAAGCATAGAGCAAAACTGCTCTCACCGACGCGTTGTAAATCCGAGTTTTTACAGCCAGACTAACATCACGAAGGCGCCAAAGATGGCCCAGATTGGCATAAGCCGATCTGGCTTTCCTTATACGTGCATCAATCTTATCACTCACGCCACCACCAGCACTTATATAGCTACCTAGATACACGAACTTCTCAACTACTTCGATCTGCTCACCATCCAGGGTGAGTACAGGATGAGAATCCTGCCAGTCTTGTAGAAGTACTTTGCACTTGGAGGGTGCAAAGCACATGCCGTACCTGCGGACACTGATTGCCAACTGATTAAGTGCTGATTGCATGCCTTGGGCATTATCGCACAGTAAGACAATATCATCCGCATACTCAAGGTCGAGAAGTCGTTCTCCGGGCAACATATCCACACCGCCATTACTTACATCCATCAGAGCTGTTTCCAGGATGTCGTCGATAGCAAAGTTGAATAGGAATGGTGAGATCGGGCAACCCTGCCTAACCCCACTGCTCGAATGGAACAAGGGAGAAAGGTGGTTGTATGCCCTCACTCTGCCTGAGGTGTTCGTGTACAGGGCCTTTAAGATGTTAATGAACTTCTCAGGCACACCCTTCTTCAATAGACAATCCCAGAGAACAGTCCTGTCCAACGAATCGAAGGCTGCCCTGATATCAAGAAACACTACGATTGTTGGCCTGCGATAAGTATGACGGTGTTCTAACATTTGGCGGAGGGTGAAGATGTGATCAATGCATCCTCGACCAAAACGAAAACCAGCCTGCTCCTCGCGAGTCAATCGTTCTCGGGTTTTAAACAACCTACGAAGAATGATAGAAGCCAATAGTTTGGACGCAATCGGAAGTAGACTTATCCCCCGATAGTTATTGCAGGAACAACGCGAACCCTTTTTAAAGATAGGGACGACTATTGACTCATTCCATGATGTTGGAACACTTTCTTGCTCCCAAACCTTTCCAAACAACACAGTCAATTCCTTAGTCAGAAAGTCGCCACCATCTTCAAAAAGAGCCGGAGGTAAGTCATCTGGGCCAGGTGATTTGTAGCGCTTCAAGAGTTGGAGTTCCTTGAGGACTTCCGCCTCGTTTGGTGGAACAGTCGTCACCGGCCATGGGGGGCAGGACAAGCTGGTTGATGTTGCCGGAGCAGCAGGCCAGTTGAACTGCCCTTCGAAAAATTCCACCCATCGTCCAAGACGTCGGGAGATGTTAGTGATTGGCATCCCATCATCCTCGTAGATTGTTTCACTCACACCAGCCAGGCTAGTACTACAATATCTGTCGAACGCGCTTTCTGGAGAAGAACTGTTAACTGATGGTAAAACTCATCCCTGATTGCATCCGGGCTGCAATCTGTCGGAGCATAGGCGGAGATGACGAAAAGACACCGTTTCTCACGCCGGTTTCTTCTCACTTTGATGGAACTTTCTAATCTAACAGCACATAACCGACTGTTAATGGGGATCCAATCGATTAGTGCTGCCTCAGCCCTAGCGCTTAGTGCGACGCCAACGCCAGCAAGACCAGACGAAGATGCCACAGGGTCCCCGGATAAGCGCACGTGGAACAAGCTTTTCGAGGCGACAGATGGAGAGCGGATTTGTAGTACTTCACTAGAGTCTTGAATACGGGTCTCGGATAGACAACAAACGTCAACATTAAGACCTTCCAAAGACATAGCCAGCCCTATCTGTTGTCTGATCTGCATTAGTGTGCGAACGTTGAAGGAAGCCAGCTTGAACGGCGTACGTGGTTTCAGAAAGACTGCCTCAGTATTCATAATCGGTGGAAGCATTCACTTTCAACCAGACAGTGACTGGAGATCGTTTAGATAGGACAGATTTTCCACCAAGAGCGAGCTGCTGCATAAGTTGAAGAGTAAGGTTACACAAATTGGGGATAAAAGGGGGTGAATTAGCGATATGGTAAGTAATAATAACAATAATAATAATAATGTAAATTGTCTTGCTTATAATATGAGCAGGAATAGAATCGTCAACAGAGTTCATCATTTCATTCAATTGTGTGTGGGCTGTTATACTGCCCGGGTGCCCAAACCGAAGCAGGTGGTTTTCTTAGGGGACCACACCCCGAGCCTTCGACCTAAAGGTCTGATCCACAAGGCAGTGGAGCATCGTGAGGAGATGCAGTCCCATGGTAGCCGTTGACCAATGACAGGTTCTTCCGCCATTCGTTCCATCAGGATGCTGGAGCCCATGTGCACCATTGGTTTGGAATCAGGGTTTTCCAACTCCCCTAGGTGGACCCTCCGTGTCCACCAAGTAGTTATGAGAACGAGGCTGACCAAGATGTTGCTTGGAAGGATATACGAACAGCAGCGACATCTACTAGTGATTTGAACCAAAGGGTCACGAAGGACCAGTGGATTTCTACGACATCTGTTGCACTGTTAGACTCTCGTAAACTCATCCTACAATGAAGAGCAAAAACAAATCAGATCTATGTTAACCAAAAGTCTACAGGACGATCGTGAACAGTGATGGACAAAGAGAGCAAAAGACATGGAAAAGGCAGTGTCTGTGGGTAACACAAGACAGCTTTACAGGTTAGAGAAGTACATTAACCTCATAAAGGCTCTCTACTCGAACACAGCTGGTCGAGTTAGAGCCTATGGCGAACTGTCATCAGAACTGATTACCACAAGTGGCGTTCGTCAGGGCTGTCCACTCTCCCCATTCTTGTTTAACTTTGTCATTGACATACTTTTAGAGATAGCACTTTCATCAGCTAAACCTCCAGGAGTTGAACTTTTACCAGGAGGCTCACTTGTTGACTTAGAATACGCCGACGACATCGTTTTACTCGGTGAAGACGCTGACAACATGCAGAGTCTTCTGACCACTATAAGCAACTATGCAGGCATGTTCGGGATGCGATTCTCTCCCTCGAAGTGCAAAATGTTACTTCAGGATTGGGTTGCAGCGACACCTGAACTAATGATAGGGAGTGAAGTAGTTGAGCGTGTTGACAGCTTCACTTATCTTGGGAGTCTCATCAGCCCTTGTGGTCTGGTATATGACGAAATCTCAGCACGGATACAGAAGGCTCGTCTAGCTTTCGCCAACTTGCGTCATTTATGGCGTAGGCGAGATATCCGTCTACTAAACAAAGGACGTGTTTACTGTGCAGCAGTTCGCTCCGTCCTACTTTATGGCAGTGAAACATGGCTGATAAGAGTAGAGGATATTCGTAGGCTACTAGTGTTCGATCATAGGTGTCTTCGAAGCATTGCTCGTATATCCTGGGACCACCGGGTAAGTAATGCAGTTGTTAGGAAACGAGTACTAGGTAGGGATGGCAAATCGATTGATGAAGTAGTGAAACTTCATCAGTTGAGATGGCTGGGACATGTGTTACGTATGCCCGACCACCGACTGCCCCGACGTGCAATGTTTCATGGTGTAGGAGTAGGTTGGAAGAAAGCTAGGGGTGGCCAGACCAAAACGTGGCACAAATCAATGAAGTCACTGACAAGTAAACTGGGCCATGTTGGTAGGTATAGACTACCTGGTTGGGATTCGCGAGATGACAGCAACCGATGGTTAGAGACCTTGAATGACATGGCTCAAAATCGTTTGCAATGGCGAAGGTGTATCCACTCTTTGTGTTCTACCAAATTCTATTCTTCTGAATTCCTCATGTCTTTATCTTTTTCTCTTTTCAGATTTATTTCACTGTACTATACTCCTTCAATAATTTCTTCAAACCCTAATCTTTTGGATTTCTGATTATACTCCTACTACTTCTACCACTATGGGATTTGAATCGACAACTGCATCTCTGTGCTAATGTGGTATGGCAACTCGAACTGATGTACGTACGTACGAAGTTCTACGTTGTGACTGACTGGCTGGCTGCTTTACAGACTAATGAAGAAAAAAGACTTAGGAAGTCAAGTGTAAGTGAGACAATCTCGGAAAACGACGACACTCCTATCTGCTCTTAGTCCAGACGTTTAAAACGATGGGCAGAACACTTCAAGGATCAGTTCAGCTATTTTACAACTACTCACTATTCCCAAACAGCCTGAGTGGGACATTGAAGTAGGCCCCCGGACTCTAAGTGAAGTCCAAAAAGCTATGGCTAATCTGAAACGAGGAAGAGCAGCTGGTCCAAATGCAGTCCACATGATTGCTGTGTCCAAAGGGTAAAGTTTGGGAAAAGCCTTAGAATTGTTTTCAATGGCGTCGTTGCTTTCACTCCTTGTCATCCTTTTGAAATAGGTTCCCAAATTCCCGTTATACTTTTTGTTTTCTGAAATCCATCTTTCCTACCGCTACTACCAATACTGTTGCTACTTCTACTACTCTGGGATTTGCATTGAAATAGTTTTGTCTCGCTATACTAATGTAATATGGTAGCTTGAATCGATGTATATGTGTCAAATTTTGTTGTAGTTCTATGCTATAGTTTTGATGTGCAATAAATATTTACAGCTATCGTCTTTTTTTTCTTGCAACAAGTCAATTTACTTTTATTCCTCTCATAAAAATATTGAAATTCTTTGGAACTCCATTGATACCTAACTTCAGCAAGTTAGGAAAGAAACAAGTATTTTATTTTTAAATAATAATATACAAAATACAAACAGAAAGTTAAACAAATCACAAATATTCAGTTATTAACATTTCAGTTTAATTATTTGACTTTGAAAATTTTGTATGCTGACTTCACATTTACCTATCTCATCATAATCGCACCAAATCTGAAGAAAAAGAGGATTAATAAATGAAAGTAAATACAACAACAGTAATATATGTCAAGAACGTAATTATTTCTCTTATGTATTAATTTAAAAATCCCCATAGAGTATTTAAAAACAAAAAGTATTTGACTGAACGAAAGACATCAATATCGCCGTGATTCTATGATAGGTATAAAATGATTGAAATTTGGAGTAAAAAAGGATAGGAAACTAAGAATAATGAAATAAAAATGCAAGATTAGAGAATAAATTTAGAATATGTACTGGTTCATTGAAATAAAGCCAAACATTGTTATTAAGCTTTTATTACGGAACGAAATGAACTGGAAATGTGGTTAGATGCACTGAAAAATTTTGGGCTAAATATTTCTACATTATTTATAATTTAAGGGTTTGTTTTTAGTGAATATGAAGTTTTTAAACCCATCAGGTTATACATTACACGTAAATAAGTGGCTGATCTAAGAAATAACCCGGAAATTAACTACACGAGGTACAACACTATAGTCTACCGAAGTAAAAGAAGTCAACAAAACTTGATAAATAACGCGTAATAACATGTTTACATAACGTGCGATTTACCGTAGCTACTAGCGAAACTAAAGTCATTTCTACTCTTTGAGGCAAGTAAACAATCCACATGGAAACAGTAGTACATAAAAAAAATTTGTGTTTACAGACAGTTATACTGAGTGTGATGGCCCTGGTAATGTGTTAATAAATTTCGTAATAAATAATTAGGATCATTTTAATTAGTATTAAAACTAAATATTATAATAATTGCAATTTATTGTTTTACCTCATCTGTTAATGAAATGTCATCAAAAACCGCATCGGAATTGACACTTGAAGCAGACCAACCAGAACGAGGAGAAAATTCAGTAAATTCTAAACCACGACAGTCAAACTTTGCAATGGTTTTGAAATGACCCGAATCGTCAAGTGAGTATGGAAGTATGCTGCCAGGAATGATATCTAAAATTTGGAACCATGAAAACAACCTGTCTTAATGACTGAAGTTTTATACATAAAACAATGTCAGTCTATATATACTGAATGAAAACTAGGTGGTAAATACCCGCTGAAATGATTGAACAGAACGACAAAAAACAGATTTCTTTGTTTAAAAAGCATTCTCTGGTCCAAGTTTCTAGACGTTTCGTTGGTCCTTAACTAAAAGATTGAGTTGAGAACAATCTGACCAAAATTTAGGAAAGCCGGTAGTCTTACTGCATACACGTGGAAGTATTTGCAATGTTTAACTTATTCAAAAGATTTAGAACATCAGATTAGTATTCAAGACTATTGTAAAACAATGACTTAGTGGTTACAGTACAGGATTTGTAACTGCTTGCTTTTATATACACACCGGTGACACTAACACTTATAAATTGCGATTTAACACTGGATACATGGATATTCACATGATTGATGAGTTGCGCTACTTTTTCTACAAAGTCTGTTGACTAAAGGACATTGAGTTGTTGCTTAAAAATCTGTTTCGTCTATCGAGAATTTTAAGAATCGACCAGTACAACTAACCCAGTTATCAAAAACGTAGAGGCAACCGTAAGGAAAATAAAGGGCTAAACAACACTTTACTTTGGAACTTATTATGTTTGGACTTATGGTCCATTGAATTTTACCCAACCTATTATTGTTTGATTATTAACAGACACATTCCCCATCACAATAAGCCCGATTGGCATCACGAAGTCATTCCCATATTTATGTCATCCTAAAATGTAGTCTTTGGGTCAATTTTTGATCGCAGCTTGGCACAAGTGTGAATAGGGTTGTTGTGGACTCTAGAATAACTGAATAAGTCACTAAAGTAAGTTGAAAACTACCACGTAGTTTACATGAGTATAACATTTGCGTGAAATAGGGTCGGAGTTCCAAAATTGATAGCTTATAAAATTTCACTATCAGCTCAATGTAACGACTTATCAAAAACTATGGTTCAGTGGTCTAAGTGAAAAATGGCCAAAAATGTGTACTGTGGCAAGTATCCACCAAGTCAAATGGTTGTGGACGGAATAAAAGAAGCTTTCACTTAACCGGCTTCCGTGTCTAGTAGCAGTGGATCACCAATACCTCCAGGCAAAAACCTAGGTATACGAACGATAATAGAGGAAAAAAAGAATTTGGTGAATCATAATAATATGTTATCCTTAGTCCTTAAGAATAAGTCAAGTTTCCTCTTAAAGGACTCCTGGGAGGTCGCTTGGACTAGCTCAGTCGGCAGCGAATTCCAACACTTGACAACTCTAACGGAGTAGAAGTTGTGTCTGCAGTCTTTTCTGCTATGTAGGGTCTCCAATTTTTGGGTATTACCTCTTAGGTTAGTGTTATGACTAAGCTTAACAAGATGTTTAAGGGGATTACCAGAAGTATTGAGGATACTGTAAGTCATAAGAAGGTCACTTCTAAGACGCCTGTACTCTAACGGGTAAAGGTTAAGCGATTGGAGGCGCTCTTCGTAAGGTTTGAATTTGAGTCCCCGAACTGATTTCGTGGCTCGACGTTGCATACGTTCCAGAGTGTCCTTATTCTTTTGGAGGGAGGGAGGAAATACTATGTTTCCGTACTCTAAATGGGGACGAATAAAACTGTTGAAGATTATGTGGAAGGTTCTACCGTCAAACTGGCCAAAAATGCGCTTCAATGTTACCAGTGCAATGTTTGCTTGAGAGGCGTTTTTGTCACAGTTCGCGTACGATCTCAGGTCATAGGGTACCAACACTCCTAAATCTTTCTCGACTTGGGAAACTTCTAGAGGGGAGTTACCTAAGTTATAACTATAGTCTGCAACATGTCTCAGATGGACTACTTTACACTTTGAAGTGTTGAAGGTAAGTCTGTTGTCGTCTGCCCAACTTTGAAGTCGGGTCAGATCCTCCTGAAGAACTAGTATATCATTATGATTACGTATCTCTCTCCAAAGTTTCACATCATCAGCAAAAAGCAATAAGTCAGATGAAACTTGTTGAGGAAGATCGTTAATGTAAATCAAGAAGGGAAGAGGTCCTTGTATTGAACCCTGGGGGACGCCACTAGGACATTCCATAGCCTGAGAGAGAGTGAAGTTAACCCTGACCTTAAAGTGTCGGTTTTCTAAATATGAAGAGAGCCAATCATTTCAAAGGGGGTTTTATACCCAATCGTCTAAGCTTCTTGATAAGACATACGTGGCTGACCCTATCAAAGTCGTTTTACAATATGTATTTACGTGAATCATAAAAGGAACAAGCCAATGAATTTTTGCTGAAAAGTAAGTCCAACTTAGAACTAAGCAGTCAGTAAATTGCAAACCTCTTTTTAAATATCAGATCTTGAAGTTTGAAAGGTGCAAAACATGTAAACAGACTGCATACCCGCATTTGAAATTCGTTTACAAAATTTGCACCGGATTACTAAATTCGCATCCCCACGACTGTCTTGGATTGGTGTCTTTTCCTGAAATTATTAGAGCATATGGGCTCACCAACTTACTAAACCGTTAATATATACATAATCATGAGTATCTTCGCCACAGTTCCCGCATTTTACCTAGTCATTGTGAGGTCAACATTATAATTTTAGCGTTTGTACCTTTAAATACCAACGAAAATGGTCACATGAAGGACTTAGATTAGTTAAATTCGTAAGTTCACAAGTAATTTGCACACCAAGTAGCTTAGAGATGCTATTATTCGGTTTATTAAGACTTACTACCATTAGTGTCTTTGGGACAATTGGGCTAGGAAGATATCTAATAAGAATTCAGTCACAAATAGCTTTGATCAGTTTACGTATTTTATCTAGAGTGAAACAGGATGATATTATCAAAATCGTAAAATGACCTTGACTCCTTCAAATGGTTCAAATGGTTGAAGACGGAATAAAATGTAGCACGTTGTATTTCGACGTTCACTTGGGAGCAGGAGCGACCTGAAACAGCAACACAACAGTCAGGACAGACAAGTGCGTCTGAAGTGAGAACACGGTGTGATGGTGCAGCAGATATATTTGAAATTGAAATACGCGGTTTTTAATACAAAAGGGGAAAGTTATTACAAAATAGTTTTACTCGTTATTCTGCAGGTTCAGACGACGTAGGGCTTGTTCTTCTTCTTCCAGTGCATTCACTCTTTGTTGTCCTGCAATGAGAAATACAAACACACATTATTAATGTTGCATGTAATGATTTTTATTACTGTTACACTACCCCCTCTCTCCATGAGGCACTGTCCTCAGTGCCTGGTTGCGGGCATGGATATGCTATTCCCCCTTCTGGTGGCACCTCGTAATGGCTGGTAGCCGTCGGGGGATTGACAAACGGGGCATCTAAGTGCACCGTTGTTTTATCCGGCTTCAGTTGGTTGTAGTGTGCCGTTAGAACGTCGTCTTGAGGTCGCTGGAGGTTGCGTAGGACGAATGTTGTAGGGGACCGAATAAATAAGATTTCGTAAGGCCCTTTCCAAGGTTGGTGAAACTTGCCGCATGTTCCTGGTGGGGCCATAGGGCGATGTAGCCACACACGATCTCCAGGTTTATATACGGGCCCGTTCGCATGTCGATCGTACACATTCTTTTGGTGTTTGCTGGCATTTTGTAGATTAGCTTTAACTAGACGGTATGCGTCGGCTAGGCGGCTACGAAGGTTACGGACGTATGGTACATAGTCTTGAGCTTCGAAAGGCAACAACGGCATTTGGATCTCTACAGGCAGGCGTAATTCATGTCCAAAGAGTAAAATCGCAGGTGAAAATCCCGTGGAACCGTGAACTGATGCGCGGTAAGCTAACAAGCATTGGGGTATTGCATCATCCCAGCATTCCGTCGACAAATTATTGATAAACGACTGTAGGAGGGTTTTAATGGTTCGGTTTGTTCTTTCTACTAAACCGTTACCTTCAGGGTGGTATGCAGTGGTATGTGTTTTGCGGATACCCAATAATCGGCATACCTGAGCGACGAGATGGCTTTCAAAAGCTGTACCTTGATCGGAATGGAGTGAGAATGGAGCGCCATAACGGGAGACCCAATGATCAATGAAAGCTCGAGCGACCGTGAGGGCATCTTGTTGAGGTATAGGGACGGCTTCACACCATTTGCTAAAATAGTCCACCATCACCAGTATATAACGGTTTCCGTTCTTTGATGTCGTAAGGGGCCCCATGATATCGATACCGACTCGTTGATGTGGACCTTCTGTCGTCATTGGGACTAACGGTGCACGGGGTCTTTGCTGAGGTGACTTGATGGCATGGCACGTGCTACAATTTTTGCAGAATTCAGTCACGTCTTCATGGATGGATGGCCACCAAAACCTCTGGCAGATCGCATGTTCAGTTTTTCGTTTCCCCGAGTGCCCGAGTTCTCGATGCACCTGCTCCATAATATTCTGAACTTGCACACGTGGTACTATCAACAGTGGTTGTTTTGACTCGCTGACTATAAATAGTGTGTTCCCATACAATCTCAGGCTACTCCACTTGGTACAAAGACGGCGCGTCGCTGGGGAATGATCCTTTAACTCTGCCGTAGAAGGTTTATCGTTACCGTGTAGTTGTCGTAGGTAAATGAAATGCAGGTCAGGGTCTGATGCTTGAAGAGACGCCCAGTCGATCTCTGGGGCTGTGCTAAGGACAGCACTAATGGTACTAGGAGCATAGGGTATACGGGACAGAGAGTCGGCGTTTGTGTGACGGCTGCCTGGTCGGTATTCGCAAGTAAAATCAAACTCCTGTAGTCGCTCTTGCCAGCGTGCCACTTGGCCTTCTGGTTCGCGGAAGGAGCGGAGCCATTGTAGTGCACGGTGGTCTGTGCGTACACGGAAAGGTTTACCTAGTAAATAATGGCGGAAATGTTGTAAGAATTTTACTAATGCTAACATCTCTCGACGCGTTGTCGAATATCTTGTTTCGCTCTTATCCAGTCGACGGCTAGCGTACGCAATGACTCTTTCTTGCCCATCTGGGGCCACTTGTGATAGAACTGCTCCAATAGCGGAGGAACTGGCATCCGTATCAAGTATAAATTCTCCCCCGCTTGCTGAGGTATCCGGAACGGCTAATATAGGTGGAGAGCTTAGTCGTGTCTTCAAAGCATCGAACGCCTGTTGACACTCTGTAGTCCATAAAAATTTTCGTCCTTTGTGCGTCAAACGGTGTAAGGGTGCTGCTAATGATGCAAAGTCACGGACAAAGCGTCTGTAGTAAGAAGCTAGGTCAAGAAAGCTACGAACGTCTTCAGGTGATTTGGGCTGTGGCCAATTAACAATGACACGTGTCTTTTCTTTATCGGTGCCTACTCCATCTGCAGTGATACGATATCCTAAGAAAACTACTTCTTTCTGCAGCAGACGACATTTGGACGGTTTTACTTTTAGGTTGTGTTGTTGAAGGCGATGGAGAACTGCTTTCAGATTAGCATTATGTTGCTCAGGTGTGCTACCATACACAATAATGTCATCGAGATAAATCAAACATTTATGAGGTACTATATCTTGTAAAACTGTTTGCATTAATCTTTGGAAGGTAGCTGGGGCATTCGTTAGACCGAAAGGCATTACTTGGAATTCGTATAAACCATTTGGCACTACAAATGCGGTTTTCTTTCTATCTTGTGGTCTGACTCCCACTTGCCAGTACCCTGATGCTAGGTCTAGCGTTGAAAACCAACATGCGCCACTCAAAGCGTCTAATATAGCATCGATTCTCGGAAGAGGAAAAGAGTCACGCTTAGTTATAGCGTTAAGGCGTCGATAGTCTATACAGAGACGCAGAGAGGAATCTTTCTTTTTAACCAGGACGATAGGTGATGCCCAGGGGGATGATGACGGTACTATAATATTCTTGTCAAGCATATCCTTTATCATCGTATCCAGTTGTGGTTGATAGTGTACTGGAACTCTACGAGGCGGTTGCCTAAGTGGTCTGTGGTCCCCCGTGCAAATGGTGTGTTGCACCGTACTCGTGCGATTGCCGGAAATACTCTCTTCGAATACCGAACTAAACTGTTGAAGCACGGCAATCGTTGCATGTCGATCTTTCTCTTTTAGTGTTCGGTTGTCGTTTACTTGCCGCACCAGGTCTGAGATTCCCACATATGACACAGATTTAAATGGCGTGTTAGTATGGTGCAAGCGTATTTTAGTCTCTCCAAATTTAGCTTCCAAGCTGTCCATAAATATACCAGCTTTATGTTCTAACATGAAGTCGACTCCAAGTATCATATCCCAAGTCAAAGTCGGACAAACTAAAAACCCATGACGGAACGGATGTCTATCTATCATTAGGTCCAACCATACCTTAGAGTTCACTTTCAATGGGTCTCCGCTAGCTGTGAGTAATGTGGATGGGTATCGCGTCTGTTGGACTTTACGATTAAGCCTTCCTAAAAACTCGCTCTTAATTAGGGATATTGACGCTCCGGTGTCTAATAAAACTTCGATATCGATACCCTGTACTCTAGCCTTAATCGTGATGGGACGCACATGGTTAGCATAAGAAGATAAATGGAAAATGTACGGCTTACTTGTGTTACCAAAACGATTATGACCACATTTCTTTGCGTTTTTGCCAAACCTTCGACAGTACGGGCATTCGGATTGACGACCATGATAACTATTCGTTGGTCTCCACTTCTTCTCAGTGGGATTGAACTGTCTTCGACTGCTGTTCCAGTGGGGAGACCGGGTAACGTTAGATATGCGTTGAGGGTTCAGTGGGCGACTCGCTTTTGTAGGCTGCATGACTGCCATCGCAGTTGGCTGGTGCATGTCAAGTGGGCTTTTTAGCTGCTCGGCTGCCATGAACCGGAATGTAACTCTTTTTAAGGAATTTATATCTGTTGGAGGGTTTAGTAGGAAGTGTTCCTTTAAGGAACCGGATAGTAACCCTTCCACGAACCGAGACTTGATCAATTCATCTCTTCCAGTGGCATCAAGACAAGGAAACGCTTGCACAGCCATCTGTTGCAAAGAATTAAAATAATCCATTGGATTCTCGCCGGGTGTTTGATGTCGTGACAAAAATCGGATGGCTGCTTGTTGGGGATCCACCGGCGTCGAAAAACAATCATCGAGAATCTTCCAGTTTTGAGCGAGAGTATTGTCCGCCGCAAACCCGTTAACTATAGCTCTTTTGGTAGCTTCGTCACTGAGGTAGGACACCAGATAATCGAATTGTTCCGAAGCTGGAACTTTACGAAGATATGCTGCAACTTTGAACTTCCACACTGCATAGTCTGACGAGTTTTCCAGGAGTGGCGGTTGACGGGGAGCTGAGCCAGTAGTTGGCTTGACTGGAATCACCGGCGGTTCGTTCAGGTTTTCATCGCGTTTTTTAGTGAACACCTCCATCACCACTTGTAGCACGTTGTATTTCGACGTTCACTTGGGAGCAGGAGCGACCTGAAACAGCAACACAACAGTCAGGACAGACAAGTGCGTCTGAAGTGAGAACACGGTGTGATGGTGCAGCAGATATATTTGAAATTGAAATACGCGGTTTTTAATACAAAAGGGGAAAGTTATTACAAAATAGTTTTACTCGTTATTCTGCAGGTTCAGACGACGTAGGGCTTGTTCTTCTTCTTCCAGTGCATTCACTCTTTGTTGTCCTGCAATGAGAAATACAAACACACATTATTAATGTTGCATGTAATGATTTTTATTACTGTTACAAAAAGAAGCTTTCACTTAACCGGCTTCCGTGTCTAGTAGCAGTGGATCACCAATAACTCCAGTCAGCAGGTTGGTTATACAAGAATACCAACCCCCTGAAACCATGCTGTTCGGGTGAAAATAATTTTAAGTATAATAATCAGCCGTGTATACTGTCGTATATCAGAGACTCCATAATTTTTAAGGTATAGAGAGAAGAACCACTGGTCGGCAGCTTAATTGTTCGCTGCGTCAACTTCCTTTTCAAATTGATGTGATGTGAGCAAACTTCAAAATTTCCAGTAATGTGCCTCGGCTTAGCAAGTGTGAAAACATCACGCTAAGTGGTGTGATCAGGATTGAAGCTGCTTCCCTCAGTATGACAGAATGAACCATATCCGGACCGGGAGAAGTGTCTTTTCTTAGGTGCTGCAGCTTACAGTACACCAAGTCAGCGCTCAGGTCCACTTCAGAATGTTTTGTACAGCTGCAGACGAAGCTTTCATCAATATAGTTAGTTTAAGCCTGATGATATGTCCGAAAGTATTGCTCAGCCAGAGAGTGAGTGGTGTCACCGTCGTTGTTGGTCGGGTCATTAGGACCTAGCAGTTGGTGAACTCCAGTTTTGGCTTGTCCAGTAGAAGCTGAATAACGGAATAAGCTTTCCGCATTGTAGATTGATGATGCAACGGATATTCTAGTTTTACAACTGGATACCAGTAGCACCTTCTATGTTCGGTCGTTCCCAGTCAGATAGAAATCAGAAGTCGGACGAGAAGAGGCAGGAAAGATATATTTGATTCGTTACCAATATATCGAGGACCTTTTCTATGAGCTGGCTAATGAAACGTAGGAGCTGTGTCCCACGCAGTATTGAAACGTGATCTGGTGCGGATGCATGACCGAAAGCCTTCAGCTAAACAAGTCCACTTAAACAACGTGGTCAGCATCCAATGTCGAACACTTAATGAGCTATTGATTTTGGGGAATTATTTACAGCTACAGATCACTCCCCCCCCCTAGTGAGGTAGTGATGCCCCTAAGACGTGACCAGCCAGAAGTTTAAACCCAACGAATTTGTCGTTGGTAAACACTCTTCTGATAGCTTGCTTCGTTTAGCAGCGTCTGGTCGTCTTTCCTTAAACTATGGGACCAAAATGTACAACGTAGCAAATAAAGAAATATAGTACAATGAAAATTTCTGTTCCTTGCGAAACTTCGTCGTTCTTTTCCAGCCGTCCTGGAAAAGAAGAAAAATAAAACGTGTGAGTGCATGTCGAAATTACACTTGTACTTGCGTAAGGACACAAGATGAGCGGAAAAAAAATAAACTGATACACTTACAAACAGCGTAAAAGCGATCGGAAAAAAGGTTTTCTTTTGGTTTTTTTTTAATATATAAATATATATATATATATATGTTCAAAAAAAATGTTTTTTTTGTTGTTTTTTTTACATAAGTAAAAAATGAGCATATTAAAAAAAAATTTATAATAAACTTTGAAAGGGTAATTCCAGATAAAGGTTATGTCCTACGTGCAATATTCGTTAAGATGTTCTGGAAATCTTACTCGTCTTCCAGAACGCGTTGTTTTAGGTTTTTCTATCGACGTTGACGAAGTATCAAGTTGTGTGTCGGTTGTCGTGTAGGGTACTACGAGTGTAGTAGCTGTGTCGTTTGCTTGTACCGAAGGAAAATCGACGTAGCTAGGGTTTCCTTCTAGGTACGCAGCTTTGAGTCGATCGATACTGATGCTATCTTTCGTACCGTTCTTATCAACTACATAGTACTTAGGTTCGCGTTGAAGAACTTTGAAGGGTCCTTCGTATGCTGATTCGAGGGGTCGTCGATGTGAGTCTCGACGAACGAAGACGTGTGTACTATGTCGTAATTCGGGTTGAACGAAAACATCAATTGATTGAGGTCGAGTGTGAGCAGGTTTAACTGAACGCATAGCGTTTGTAAGCCTACTCGTGTAAGAGTTTAGATCCATGTTCAATGAAGAAGCTGAAGGATCCACGAATTCTCCTGGGAGTCGGAGTGTCGTTCCGTAAACGAGTTGAGATGCCGTGTATCCAATGTCAGCTTTCAATGCATTGCGGATACCTAGCAAGACGAGTGGAAGAGCGTCTGTCCACTGTGAAACGTTTGAAGCTGATAATGAAGCTTTTAATTGTCGATGAAAACGTTCTACCAACCCGTTTGCTTGTGGGTGGTAGGCGGTCGTTCGGAAGCGCGTGATTCCTAAAAGTGTGGTCAGACAACGGAAAAGTCCAGATTCGAACTGGCGTCCGCGGTCTGTAGTGATTGTGGAAGGGCAGCCGAAATTTGCTACCCATCGTTCGACGAAAGTGAGAGCCACTGTTTCAGCAGTAATGTCCTTAATCGGTACTGCTTCTGGCCATCGAGTAAAACGGTCTACGCATGTTAGGAGATATGAGTATCCGTTCGAGTCGGGTAAGGGTCCTACCAAATCTAGATGGACGTGGTCGAAACGAGCGTCAGGGGTTTTGAAAGAACCTAAGGGGCATTTGTTGTGTCTGATTACCTTAGATTTCTGACAGCTTACACAGGAGCGTGACCACTCCCTCACGTCTTTATTCATGCCAGGCCAACAAAAGCGTTCGGCTATAAGTTCGATTGTTGCACGAGCACCTGGATGAGAAAGATTGTGCAACGTATTGAAGACGTTGCGGCGATAGTGTTTTGGTACAATTGGACGATCCCTACCTGTAGATGTGTCACAGAGTAAGGTTTCCTTACCTGTTCCCATCTGCCTAATACTTAGTTTAAGAGTTGTCGAGGATAACTCATGCTGAAGATCAATGTCTTCTTTTTGAAGCTGAGCGAGTTTAAGAAGGTCGATTCCTTGGAAACTGTTCAAGGAGCTAATTCGAGACAAGGCGTCTGCGACTACATTGTTTGCTCCAGAAATATGTTGTATGTCTGAAGTAAACTGCGAAATGTAGTCGAGTTGTCGCGACTCTCGCGGTGAGTACTTGTCTGAAGATGAACCTAAAGAGAAGGTAAGAGGTTTGTGATCGGTAAAGAGCGTGAATTCTCTTCCTTCGATGGAATGTTGAAAATGCCGTACAGCACAATACATAGCTAGGAGTTCCCCACCGAACGTGCTGTACCTAGATTCAGCGTCTAGCAACCGTCTCGAGAAAAATCCTAAAGGTTGCCACGAGTTGTTAACCCATTGTTGTAAGACTGCTCCGATTGCTGAGTCGGATGCGTCTACGGCGATACTAATGGGCGCTTGACTGTCCTGATGAGCAAGCAAGGTTGCTTTAGCGATGTGTTCCTTAACTGTAGAAAATGCTTTACGGGCTATGTCGTCTAAACTAATTGATTTCGCACTTCCACGAAGCTGATCGGTTAACGGTTTCATTAGGGATGCGCATTTAGGTATGAACCGTCTATAGAAACTTACGAGTCCGTTAAAAGTTCGTAACTGCTTGATCGTGGTCGGTTCTGGGTAATCAAGAATGGCCGCCACTTTGCTCCCAAGTGGTCGGATGCCTTGAGCATCAATAGTGTGTCCTAAGAAGTCTAAGCAGTTAGTTCCGATTTGGCATTTCTGAATGTTGACAGTAATGCCATGCCTTTGGAGTCGATCGAAAACAATGTCCAGATGCTTGAGATGCGATTCTTTGTCCGGACTTGCTATTAGACAGTCATCAACATACGCATGCACGAAGTTGAGACCTCGGAAGACGTCGTCTATAAACCTTTGGAAGGTTTGAGCCGCGTTTCTTAAACCAAAGGGCATTCGTAGAAATTCGTAAAGACCGAAGGGAGTGATGATGGCGGTTTTAGGAATGTCGTCAGTTGCCATCGGGATTTGGTTATAAGCTTTAACCAAGTCGATTTTCGAAAAGACAGTTGTACCTTTCAAGGTAGCTGTCAAATCGTGAATATGAGGCAGCGGGTAACGATCGGGAATGGTTTTAGCATTCAGACGCCGATAATCACCAGTTGGCCGCCAATCATTGCTGTCCTTTTTAGGGACCATATGCAATGGGGATGCCCATGGACTATTCGATGGTCGAATTATTCCTAGGTCCATCATGTGGTTGAATTCGTTTTTAGCTAACCTAAGTTTTTCGGGAGCGAGTCTTCGGGCTTTCGAAAATACAGGTGGTCCTGTAGTCGAGATGTGATGTGTAACATTGCTGGTTACACAAGGTAATTTCGATTGCGATTGGTATATCCCGGGGTATTTGTCGAGTACTGCTTGGTACAAGGGGTCTATGGCGTGCTTAATCGTGACTGGGGATAACCTGCAACCAGAACAAGGAGTTACGCAAACGGACAACTTAGTGTTTCCGTCTATTAACCTTCGTGAGCGTGTGTCGATGAGTAGATTGTGGTGTTGTAACAGGTCAATACCAATGATTGGCATAGAGACATCTGCAACCACGAAAATCCAGTGTATGGGTTTACGTAAACCCACGTTAAGGTAGACGTACCTTTTACCGTAAGTAGCGATCGGCTTTCCGTTTGCCGCCTGTAAACTTAAAACAGACTCGCGAAGTCTGTCGTCGAGATTTGCTGGAAGAACGCTAACTTCTGCGCCAGTGTCGACGAGGTAGCGAACTTTCGTAGTCACATCCGTGACATATAAGAGGCGGCTGTGTTCGCCGGTTACGGTTGCCGTTAACGCGTGCCGGCTGGGAAGTTTCCCGAACTGTTTTTCGTGTCACTCGATTTTGGGGTCGGATAATTGCAAGGTTTCCTGCAGTTTCTAGAAAACTTACCGTACTGGTTATGATACCAGCACCAGTCGGGATTGTCTGTCTCTCGTGGTCGAGAGCCAGATCGCTTACGTGAGGCACTTCTACGCGGGGTTTTTGACCGACTACGGTCATTGCGAACTCTAAGATATCGTGTAAGCGTGTGACATAGTTCGGCCATGTCAGTCGAGGTCGATTGGGGTTTTTCTTTGACGGAAAAAACCTCGGCCTTAGAAGATCTAGTGATTTCCAAGATTCGATCGGCAGATGCAGCTAGTTCATCTATGGCATTGTTTTGAAATGAAACAAGCACTGCCTGCACCTGTTGAGGGAGTTTAGACAAGAAAAGTTGTCTAAATAGGCCATCATCGAAAGTTCGTTGGCCGATGACTTCTCTCATTCTAAGCAACATGTCCGTCGCAGAACCATGTTGCAAGTCGATATTGTTAAGGAGTTGGTCTAACCGTTGTCGATCAGTTAGGTCTCCTCGTTTTAAAATCGATAGCTTAAGCGATTCGTAAGGTTCGGAAACATCACTAGTAAACATACTAGGTGTTACGTACCTGTTAAACTCGCGCGGTAACGCCTTAACTACCGCGAGGAAACGTGTGCGCGAGTCCGTGATTCCGTGCATGCAAAAATCGGCTTCTGCATAGCAGAACCAGGACTCGATATTGTCGGGCCAAAATGGCGTTAACTGAATCGAAATAGGGGGAATAGACTTTAACTTAAGAACCTTAGGAGAGTGTTCCGTCATAGTAATATAGATAACGAAAAATGTCTAAGTAAAATATATCCGAGAAAAAAAAAGGTATATCACAATATATAAAATTCAAATAAAGAATAACAATAAATAATAATATTCCAAAATGGAACAGACTCACAGTATATTGACTTGGTGTACCAGATCACGTCGGGCTCACCAATGATGATGCAACGGATATTCTAGTTTTACAACTGGATACCAGTAGCACCTTCTATGTTCGGTCGTTCCCAGTCAGATAGAAATCAGAAGTCGGACGAGAAGAGGCAGGAAAGATATATTTGATTCGTTACCAATATATCGAGGACCTTTTCTATGAGCTGGCTAATGAAACGTAGGAGCTGTGTCCCACGCAGTATTGAAACGTGATCTGGTGCGGATGCATGACCGAAAGCCTTCAGCTAAACAAGTCCACTTAAACAACGTGGTCAGCATCCAATGTCGAACACTTAATGAGCTATTGATTTTGGGGAATTATTTACAGCTACAAGATAAATTTATCGACAAACTATCTGGAACTAAAGACTGTCTTCTCTTATTGCCTTTGTGCATATTTTCCTTATATGTTTGTATTGACTGTGTGTGCCATTGTTATCAGTTCGTTTGTGTTCCGCCCAACAGTGTCTTTTGAGGCTTAGCAAAAGAAAAGTACGGATCTTGATGAATACGGGTTGCCTGTATATTTTGGGAGTCATTTGAGAAGTAGACTGCCTTGTTGCACATAAGAGCATGCGTAGTAAGAAATCCCAATGCGCATCCACATCAAGTTGAGGATGGACTTTCTAGTCCACCTGTTGTAGATTGTCCTGTAGAGCTGACACACCCAACCGTTTGAAATTCCAGTGCTTGTTGTTGGTAGTGTGTCTTAGCTCAGTTTTGCTGATAAAACTAAAGGCCATGACGACATGATCGCTTTTTCCTAGGGGAGCCAGGATTGAGAGATTGTCAATTAGGAATTCTTCATTTGTAAATACTCAGTCTAAGCGTGAAGGAATCTGACTGCTTCTCCAATAAGTTACTGACTTCACACTTTTGAATAATCCCAGATCTTCAATGACGTTGAAGAACCGAGCTTCAGAATAGTTTCCACCTCCAATATACGTATGTTATGCGAAATTAACTTTAGGAAGATTGGAGTCCCCTAGAATCAGGATATGAGTGAAACCGAGGTGAGTAGAGCGGCATAATCCTTCTAGTACAAGGTTTTCGTACTCGATGTTAGCAGTGTACTTATTGGCGTGTATTATTAGCGGCCTGATTAAACATCTGGGCTACCTGTTCCTGTCATCTAGATATTTCAACAAGTTATCTGATTTCGTTTGTTTTAATACATCACTATGCCTATTAATCGCGCAAACTATTCAGGTGCGTTTCTGAAAAGTGTAAGACCTTTCGCTGTGAAGGTTACAGAAGGTCTAATCAGACATATCGTGGTTGCTGGCAATATGCAGCGACAAGAATGTACATTATCCAGATGTCAATCGACTGGGCTGCTAAGTTCTAACTGGCGATCACTGAATATTCATCGTCAGAAAGGACGAAGAAGTAAGAAACGGAAACTTGTTGAAGTACTTTGTGCTGAGAATTCTATATTGTACCAAAAATGTAATATTGAATAAATCTAATAATTATAATAATAATAATACTTCTTGTAGATGACTCCAACTAAACACCTGTAAATGGTAGATGGCCAGGATTGATAAATCCTTGGTTGTGCACATGATATACCTCCAGTCAAGATCACAGGTTTAAGGCTACTCTACCCCCGATTCCCGTTTTTTTCTGTCATTGCGAAACAAAGACATCCCAGGTATTGATAGCTTCTAATCCGTGCACTCAGATATCCTAGTTTCAGATGATCCTATCAGATAAGTATTATTAGCATCACTATGGCCACGCAGCTCATCCATTTTATTCAGTGAACTCGCGGGGTTGATGCATAAGCAGTTTATACTTTCATTTTGAAACGCGTGAGCTTCCCCATCCTGTTTATCTGTATGAGCCTTATTTTAATGGACAGGTAGCCTACCTCGTCCGAAGGCCAATTATCAGAGGCCAGTGGAAGGTTGTAGTAAGATGTATTTGTTGGCAATCTCGTGGTATAGATGTAGTGCCGTGATCCTTCCAGAATCCACAGGCGAGACTACTGAGTGTGCGAGAGTTCGTGAAAGGTGACAAAACAACGAGAGAGTGTCCTTTTTGGTACACTTAAACAAACAGGTACTGTAAAACAACTATTGGTACAATTGGTTGTAATAATAATTGTTTCCGCTATACAGTCGTGTTCTCTTCATGAAAGCAGGTCACTACACATCTAATAAATTTAGTTATGTCAGTTGCTGTTCACTTAATACAAGCCTTATATTTACATTACTTCGACTTATATCCAGGCCATCTAAAAGACATATAATCTCTCCTGATGCCTACAGAACCTGCAAAATATCTAAATCGATCACCAAAGTGAATAATGTGAAGCTTTTTAAAAACACACTCATCAGCCTGCATTTTACACTGATTTTCCTAAAGCTACGCTAGACGTACACCATGTACTTGTGCATGACATGTTATTACCTTGCATTTCGCTTGTAAATATAAATAAGAACAGTCGCATACCGTTTGGGTCGACATCATTTTGCAGCCCACACAAAAGCATCACATGTTGTGAGCAGTATTTAGACAGTGCGGCTGGGCCCAAACACTCGACAAATCCACCATCGGCCATCATGTGTCGCGGTTCACGGAGTGCATGTAGGACTTTCTACAATAGCCAGCCCAATGGTGTAGATCTCGACTACTCACCCAGGCATGTACTCCATTCCTCAGCTAAATATGCACAAAGTGACCTCCCGGTAGACACTTGCAACATGTCTGTATACAATAATATCGACACTAACAATGTTGATAGAAATTCCAATAATCTCACCAGTGATAGCTCTAAACGCAGTCAAATAGAACTTAGCCTCATCCAAACTATTTAAAACCTATTACCGCAAAAATATTTAATCAGTGTTCCAGAAAATCCTGATCTCGAAATCATAAAAAAACACTGAGAAAATAATTGACCATACATCATCTGAAGGGTTGAACAGACTTTACATAACTGGCCATCACTCAATATTTATCGTCAACGTCGATCAAGAAATAAGAAGTGGAAACTCGCTGAAATACTTCGTGCTGAGAATTCTACTCTGTATCAAAATATAATACTGAATAAAGTTAAAAAACAAATCAATTTTAGAACAGTGTAATACCGAAAATATCCGAGGTCAAGGCTATATACAAACAAATTCAAAATTCAGCGGTACAAATATATCCAAAACTCAGTCAAATTGGTGGCATTGAATATGTAAGCTATTAATAAGTTAAATATTTTTCGATTTTTCCTGTAACAACTGTGTTAATCTATTCGCGATAAATTAAAAACAACCAGGCCATAAATGCTTCAACTCAATAGACTGGTTTAGGATCTCCAACAGTAATTCCAAGCGAAAATGTAATTTGATGAATTGGTCGTTCTAGTGATATAAATTACTGTGCGATTAATGCCTTTGGTCAATGTTACTGCCTGTTAGGATCTCTATGTTATGGTAAGTAGTGGTCTCAGAACGATGGGCAACGGGAAGGCTGACGCTCCTAGTTGTCTTCCGAATTTGCCGAGGGATCTTACGAGATTCAGGAAACCCCCATGTAGACATGTACAGAAGGTTATGCGAGATCACGCTGAAGGGATAGGACTTGGATGCCAAGTTTTAGTTTTAAACACCGAGTAGTTATTCTGGAATTTTTTTCAACGACGAGGAATTACAAAGAGGAAAGTTCCTTCTTAGTTATCTTATGTAGAAAGACTGATTGTCCGATCCTAGTTATGCTAGTTTACTACAGGACGAGGTTACGCAGTATTAGATAGCTGTTTACTCGATAGTGCTTTACCATTATTATCGCACTTGTTTACGGCATCTAGTATTAAGAGTTTGAGTGGATATTATAATAATATTAAGTGATGAGGGCCGAAATGTCTGCTTTTGAATTTTAGTCCTTATACCCAACACTCATGGATGAATAAACCTCGCTGGAAATAGTCACAAACCTCGAGCTGCGATCCAACAACAACTCTAGGGTTCCAAAAATCTGGTAATTCCATATGAAAAAGGATATGGGTTGTTTATCTAGTCTTGTACCATACAGGAGCTTTGTCATTCCTATGATCAGCTTAGTTGCAATTCTTTGGACCCCTTCTTACAGCTCACTGTCTCTTTTTAGTCAGGAGCTAGCTTTTTGTATGGAATGTTCAAGATAAGGACGAACGAATACTCAATACAAATCTGAAAAGATTTAGCATCGACATGGCTAAAGGCCTAACGTATTAACATTAGGGTTCTAAATCCCTTAGGTGGCTATAGCACTGTAGTATGCAGAAGCTTTTATTGTCTTGACTAACGATGATTCCTAAGTCATTGTGTGTCTGGACAACAAGTAGGTCACTGCTATTGACCGTATAAACATCTTCACTTCGATGACCGATATACATAATAATGCTTTTGGAAGTATTCATCGGCAACTGTCATTTTTCCAGGTCATTCTGAAGTAATAAAAACCACTCACTTAACTATATATTGATATACACAGCAAAAAAAGAATTTCGCTGTCAATGTGTTTGAATGAACAGTTAATATTTACAGCAGTGTAAATCGTGAGGATTAACTGTGGGTCACTTTACCTTTTGGTTCTTGAATATAACAAATTATTTTGATTTACCAAATTTTCTTTTTCCTTTATTATCGTTAACATACATAGGTTCTTGCCTGGAGGTATTGGTGATCCACTGCTACTAGACAAGGAAGCCCGTTAAGCAAAAGCTTCTTCTATTCCGTCCTCAACCATTTGAATCATTTAAAATTGAAGGCTGATTATTGGCGGTTCTTGTGCTCTCTAGGTCACTTGTCGAACGTAGAAAACGAAGTTCCCTTGCAAAATATCTTAACGCTGGAGTAGACTTATTTTTTATTTGCTGGTAACATTTGTTATCGCTACAGTGACTGCAGGGGCTTTATAACTACAAGTAAACTAATTTTATGAATCAGTTATCTGTAGCAAAATATTAATCTTTTTCATTTCAACAATTTTCGCCTCCTGTTATTGTTGTTAATCCGCAATTAGGGATTACTATTTCTATGTGATAATAATTATTTCTGTTAGTTTTGTGAGGGAATATACAAAAGGCTCGACAACCACATGTATTTTTAAGTAATATTACTTAAGGTACATATGTACCTTATATACTATGTGAGCTGATTAAGTTTTCTTGTCTTAGTATCTGGAAATGGTGCGAGGTTTTATAAAATTGAAATTTACAGATTTGTAATCCATGTCATGGAATTCAGACGCCTTAGCTCTAAGTGTTAGTAAGAAGAACACCAACTTCAAATAATACATCAAACAAACTAGTTATAGTGTGGAACGACGAATTTGTAAACAAAACATTCAGATATGAGATGAAAAGCCCTGGATTTTGCTGCGAATATCATCCATAGATTTGTCTAAATAGCGTTTTGTCATTTTAGCTGGTGTCAGTTCGTGATGACATTCTCAAGATCACTTTAGTTTCCTGATGTTTCGTAACGTACAGACATGCTTCAGTGGTTGTAAAGAAAACAAAATCTACCTTGTATGTATATATATGACTCTCCAAATACAAGATATCAACATTTTTCTATCGATTCTCATAATAAAGTCCGTTTTCTTTTTCCTAAATTCTGAATAGAGGAAACTACTGGTTAAATAAAAATGGCTCGTCAATCGCGTGGATCGGAATCTAAAAGAGTGGTATGATTTTTGAATAAAATTTAATGTATCTAAAAAATCGATAGACAGCTGAATTGTTCACTTTAACATACGGTGCTCTTGTTGCTAATATTGTTAGAGATTTCGATACAGATGCAGAAATTAATGAACAGTTGGACAAAATGTAAGCTGCCTAATTCATCTTCTTAGATGTAATTTTCTCCAATTAGTGGGTTTAATATTGGTCTAAAGTTGGTTGAAGACTACTTAGCGCGTGGGAATTCTGGTCGTTGTAACGATTTCAAAGAAACCGCTGAAGCAGTTGTTAAAGTAAGCTAATAGCAAGACAGTTTTTGCTTGTTTATTTGTTTGTTCATACTTCATCTTGAGAACATCTTAGACCAACAAGCTGATAAAGGCTTCAACTGCCTTCAGTACGTGAGAAGTGAACCTATGCTCTAGGACTGGTTTGATATCTCAGTAAGAAGTGAAGTGACTTCATTGATTTCATTATCTTCGGATAAAAGAATTCAACCTCCCTTAACTTTTTAGTCAGTATCTCATTTTTCTGTTTAAATGTGGCAAAAAAATTTCCTGCAGCCGTGAAACTAATAATAAGCTAACAACACAAAGTGTGTTGATGTTTTGTGTCTACTCTTTTTGGAGTATTGTGCAGTTGATGTGTAACTTTTGGTTTGACAATCAAAAGGTTTTTAGATGATGTTAGCTGTCATAATCTCCGTTTCGAACACATTCTACATATGGTAACCGAGAATGGTTCTTGAGAGGACAATATTAATCCTGAAAAAGAAAATTCGCTTGGTCTTAAAGTACTGAGATGGAAATCTAACACTCAGACCCTCAAATCTTAGATCAGTTACCAGGGTTGTGCAGGACGTTGTGACCTACCACAAATCAGTTTTTGATACGATGGGTCCTACTGATTGTAGTAAATATGTTTTCAAACTACAGGATGTCCGTGTCGATGTAATTGCAATTGCACTGTCTCACGTCACTAACTTCTAGTCTGATCCATGTTGGTAGATGCAGACTACCTGGTTGGGGTCCATGTGACTATTGTAACCAATGGTTGAAGACTCTGAGTGACATGGTTTGGAATCGATCATAATGGCTCAGGTATATACACTCTTTATCTTCCCTTAAAACTTAAGATTAAAACTGCTTCATATCTGCCTTTCTTCCTGTTTTATATCCTTTTATACAACTTTTCTTTTATGTATTACCATCACTAAATTAACTACTTCTGTGAATCCGGTGTTCATCTTGTTGTGCTAACGAGGTATGGCAACTTGGACCGATGCATATATGTGTCTGGTCCTACGTTGTAACTGACTGACTGACGTCACCATATTCGTTTTTTACTCACGATATTTAAAATTATTATTTTTATAATGAGAATATAAAATGAAATCTAACCTAAAAAAAAATACGAATTTTCATTGTCTATAGTTTAATTGCTATTATATCACCCTATTCTTGATGTTGTTCAAAGTATATAAATGTGTATTTCGATGTAGTGTTTAAATATCCGAGTAACCTGTATAATCTTCAGTCTAAAAACTAATATGTTTGGATACTTATGACTGTCTTCCATATGGTCAAAAAACACGAGTAACATGATAAAGGTGTAGAATTTAGTTGAAATAAAACATAAAGAGGTTGTTTTCATGTCCCGAAAAAGTTTAAATCTATAGATTTCACTTCTTTAAAATCAATGCAACACAAAGAAAAGCTAGTACCATAAATGAGCGTCTTGTATACAATGGAAAATATTCTCAGTACAGTTGATCTTCTTTCGGAAACTCACCATTTAAATATCGTCACTCACTCCAAAATTAATAATTACAATTCAGTACTTATGTACATATTCGTCTATACCGAGAACTATTTCTGTTGTCCTGTTTTGAATGATAATACATATATTCTAAGACCATACTAAGTCTAATTTATTATTTATTTATCCAAACACATATGGGTACAAGGGGGGCACCAGATATATATGCGCCGCACAAGTCTCATTTGATTTGTGTGAGGGCTGTGATACTGCCCAGGTGCCCAAACTGAAGCAGGTGGTTTTCTTAGGAAGGCCACACCTGGAGCCTTTAACCTAAAGGTCTGACCCACACGGCAGTGGAGCATCGTAAGGAGATGCAGTCCCATGGTAGCCGGTGACCAACAGTTGATTCATACGCCATTTGTTCTCTCAGGATACTGGAGCTCATGTGCACCATTGGTTTGGAATCAGGGTTTTCAAAACTCCCCTAGATGGACTTTCTCTGTCCACCAACCCGGTTAAAGCGCCGTACATTCGCTTTCCGTCCTCTCAATTTTGTAAACACCACCTCTGATGCGAGAAGGCAGTGAGTAGGACTTCCCTTGCAGTGGTTTTATACATGTGGCCATGTGAGAGCATTTTTAGATGGAGAGCTGTCTCTCCCCACCCTCGGCCGTACCAGGGCAGGTGGACTTTCGGTGTCCACTAACCCGATTAAAGCACCGGACATTCGCTTTTCGTCCTCTTAATTTCGTAAACAACAGAAATGCCACGAGAAAGCAGTGAGTAGGACTTCCCTGGTAGAGGCTATATACGCGTGGCCATGTGAGGGCATTTGGAGAGGGAGAGCGGACTCTCCCCACTCTCGTCCGTACTAGTCAATATCTGGCTGTTGCGTGAAAAAATAGTTCTATGCTTTAATGTTGGATGATATCTTTCGAGATTGTTAGCATTGCCGAGTAAAATCCTGACCGATAGATGATGATTGATTATTACAGCAGCTAACCAACCGATAATTAATCATGAGACCGCATTATCGACGCGAACCATTGAATGAATTGATACATCAAAATACAAGACAACTAGGCGGGAGAACAAGCTTTCCAGTGAGCTAATATATTTATATCTAAAAAGAAATACGATTAAATGGCATTTAAAACATCAAAAGGAGTTGGTGAATATAATTTTTCTTAGATCGCTCAATATCTGATGAATTTGTAGACCAAGTTTAAATCTAGGTTGAGAGACTTATCAAAAGATATGAGTCGCTGCAAAATATGAGAGTGAGAGTGTGGAGGATGTATATCAAATAATAGCTCAAAATTTCTGCAATCAAGCTTCAGTTTCCTATGATGCAAGTTACACCTAGTTGAGATGTTGGTATCGAATTATCAATTATTAAAGCATTCTGTTAAGCAGACTATCATTTTATGAGATAAAACAGATAGTGACCGAGTACTGGATTTCAACTTAACAAGTCATACACGTAAGTTGGAAGGCTAATAAATTTCTTTCGAAAGAAGACAGGAAAACCAAGGAGTCTGTAGATATATAGTTTATAGTGTTTAGTATTGAAATCCATACTAGTATACAAAATAGAATCTGCACTATATATTCCGCTATTAAAACTGTTGTTATCAGTGACTGTTACACGTACTGTTTTCAGTTTTTCAAATGTTCTTTCTTGTTTTAGGGCTTCAAAATCTTTTTAGGCATAACTCCAACCATTTGTAAATTCAGTTCAGCTGGTGATGAATTCAGTCTTGTATTGGAGAATAATCCATTAACAGAGTTTGTTGATCTTCCTGCTGAACATCAAAACCTACTTTATTCCAACGTATTGGCCGGTGCGATACGTGGTGCTTTGCATAATGTAAGATACATACATGTGCTTATTATATATATACATAAGAATAGATTTAAAAAAGCTAGGGACTGCCAAACCAAGACTTAGAATTAGTCCATCAGCAATTTACTTAGATGTGGACTTCTCAATTGGGGTCCGAGCGATCATAACTATTGATTGTAGATGTTGAGTGATATAGCTCAAAATTAGTTGTAATAGCACAAATACTTTCACCCTTTATCTTCACATTTGTATTGTTAACTACATCTCACTATGCTAATACAGTATGATGACTGGAATCGATGCACATATGTTCTGGGTTCAACGTTGCTTACGACTAAATGACTAGTGAACTCTATTTTATGTGTATCATTGAATTTTAGTCTAAATGTAACACATTCCCTATCAGGCTTAAATATCCTGAGTCTGATTCCGTTCAGGAGGCGTGGGTTAACGTTAATGAGTAAATTCCTGGACTTTGAACGAAATACTCGTTCTTAGATCTATGATTTACAACGTAAATATTTTTAGCCACCTATTTTTCTCTCTGTGAATCTCGACAATTCAACTTACACTGAAGTAGTATACAGTGTGATACTCTTCATTTAGATCCTTTACTCATTAGATGTTAGTATTAGTAGCTGACACACTTCTTGATGTTTGTACGATAAGTTTCTTTTCCACTAACATAGCTACCATATATGCAGATAAATTGTCAGCGAAAAGCAAGTCAAAGCAATATAAATATCTTATCAATATAGTTGATTGTAATACTAGATTAGAAGAGTTACATACCTTTAGTTTTAGTTGGCAACCCTAAGGAAATATTATAAAAACAGTGAGTAGTGTTTGTGTTCATATATACGTGAGTTCATCATTAGTGTGTTGGAAGGAATTTAATTCATTAAGTTTGGTCACATATGATTTACGTAAATCTAGTTGGATAGATCATTACTACTAAATTGGTTGAGTAGTTCTCTTTGATTCTTATCTTATATAATATGTACAGTAACTCAACCACTTAATCTCAAGTTCGAGTTCCTCCCCATCTATAACGGTTTGGGCAACCAATTAGTAACATTAGCCTTCACACATAAAGTGTGTCTCAAAGCTAAGTATACAAACATGTAATTGGTGAGTTACACTTTTATCCAAAGCACCGAACTTTCAATCAACAGGTTACAGGTTCAAAATTCTTTTGAACTACTTCAGTGTGAGGGACCTGATGATATCTCTATCCGTTAATCTAAACTTGTTATTCTAAGCCGAATTAATCATTTTCATTGCACCGGCTTATTATATCATGCTAAACTGAACGATGTTGTGTTCAATATTATGATGGATGTATTTTTTTCGTAAAATTAAGATCGTATTAATTAACGTGGAATAAAAAAAACGCATAATTAGAAAAGATTTTTGTTAGCTGCATGCTGCCATTAAGAATTAAGTACAATACACTTCAGTGTTTTTTAGTGATAGTCTCTAAATTCAGCACTTCCTTTTTCATTATAAACACCTGATAACATAATCATATCAACTGCAAAGTCTCATGTAATATTATTATCAGGTAAACTTTGTTACTTTAATTGTCGAAGGTGCATCCACTCTTTGTGTTCTGCCAGATTCTAATCTTCTGAATTCTTCATGCCTCTATCTTTTTTCTCTTTTCAAATTTATCTCGCTGTATTACACTCTTTGAATAACATCTTCAAACCCTAATCTTTCACATTAGTGCTTATACCCTTACTACTTCTACCACTAAAGGATTTGAATCGACAACTGTATCTTTGTGCTAGTGTGGTATGGCAACTCAAACTGATGTACGTACGTACAAAGTTCTGCGTTGTGGTTGACTTGTTACTTTAACAATCGGACATTAGAGTTTTTAAAGCCTAATAGATTAAACTGGTTTTATGATAGTAACATTGCATCTAACAGTATATTGAATCCTTAATTTATTAAACAATAATGTACAAAAATTTTGTTTCCCTTATTCTTCCATTCAAATAAATAAGAACAATCAATTTCCATCTACATTATGGTTAGAAAAATAATACTCCATTGAGCTCGTAATAAAGTTGGTTTAACTTAAAAAGTATCGAGTATCAAGTGGCGCAAAATTCAAATCTAAAAATTCCAGAGACTACCTCTAACCACCTAAAATAACAAAAGCATAGGGCTTGTGATGTTGAGTTATCTTAGACTGCTGACCTTACTGCAACATAAAAAAAATGCAATTCTGTTATCACTGAGGTCCAGTAAAACATGGTATTGATTGCTACTCGATAATTCATCACCATACATATCTCATTCCTACAGGAAGTTATTTGAGGCCCAAATCATTTTGTGATAACATCTTTGATACTGAACAATGATAGGGTTTAAATGCCTTGGGGAGTAGTTCACCTAGGGATTCAAATACACTTTTCTGACGAATACCAATTAGCACCAAACCTAGACTTTGAAAGCTTTTAATGAAATGCTTTTAATTTATTCTTATAATTTATTTTTATAATTTAACTTTTATGTTTTAACAAAAAATCTTATTTAAGGTACAACTTGAAGTTGAAGCTCGATTTGTTCAAGATCAATTACGTGGTGATCAAATCAATGAAATACGCGTGAAATTTATTCGTCGTATAGAAGAAATTATTCAAGGAGATGATTAATATTTTGGATCCTATTCTATGAATATATTCATTGAATGTATTTCTGTGTTTTATAACTTTTTCTATGAATTTATTCTTTGATAATAATAATTTAAAAAAATGCATTTTCTGTACTAAAACTTGGGAAAAATTTAATGGCTGTGCAAATAAATAACCATTCTTTTTTTGCCAAAGTGTTTTTACTTAAATTTACTTTAACTACTGAAATACATCTTAGTAGGTGAATATTTTAATTATTTTAATATTATCTAGTTATGGCTTTAAATCCACAATATTCACATACTACTACACCAATTACAGAAGCTTGGTTAATTAAAGCTCTTCGTCTTGTATATTCAAAAAAGCCTAGTGATCGTGATAAACTACGTAAATTATATAAAGAAGCTTGTGAAAATGAAGCACAAGTTGTACATATGACTCTTGCTGAAGCTCTACGTGAACCTCGGGACTGTAATACTACAAATTATGAATCAAATGATGTAAGTTACTTACAGCTTTTCATCATTCCTAAATACTAATTGTTCCGTGGTAATTATTTGTCTATATATTTATAATGTATCGATTTCACTTGCACTACAGTGATATGAAATTCAAGGTTATGAATCTTGAAGGGAGAGAGCTCTCTTCAACATAATAAACGAAACTAAATGTATCAAAATTATTACTTCATTGAATTATCCTTTTCGTATTGATGTTTACTAATATTTCGGGAAAGCCTCCATTTTGTTAACGATTTTCTTTAGGAAATCATCTATCTATGTAGTTTATTATATCTTCAACTTTCCCTTATATCCATCTATCCTAATCTAGCGAGATACATCCACTTCTACTCATTCCACACAACGAACTCGTGTAGCACAATCCGTGAATGATCCAAGCCAATCTTCATCTTCGTCCATTTGTACAACAACTACTAATAATATAGTTACAAATGATTCTATGAGTTCAATGAATACGAGTAACAGTGGAACTTCATTATACACTACTACATCCACCTCTAATCCTGATCAGCTTATAAGTTCTACTACTACCACTAATAATAATAGTACTTCTGGCATACCTACTTCACCAGTGATTGGGACTACCATGAATTCAAATCCAACTATAAATCGTGCAAATAAACGTAATAAAGTGGCATTTTTCAATATTTTTGATGTTGCTTCATCAACGTCCAGTAACAGTTCCACATCAAATACTCCAGTAGTTTCGAAAAACAATACAGCACAACAATCTTTAAACCAGTTAGATAATGCATTATCAATCGAGTCAATTGGTATGTTGTAATCTTGATGTGTATTTCGTCCTTTTTCTTTTCATTTTTCATTGTCGAATTAATGTTTCTTGATATGAATGATTGTCTTTGTTGTTGATGTAATGACGAATATTTGTAGCTTAGAATGAGGATTTCAAAGATGCTCTGGTATTCTCTGAGCTTCATGGCTTAGTTATAGAATGTTTGTTGTCTTTCTCGACAACATATATCAGTAAATATTGAAAAAAAAAACTGTCTATCATGAAATTTCTAATTCACCATTAGAAATTTATCACATTTGCCATAAAACTTGAAGAACTTTTACTCGATCTTGAGTCTCTCGCTTATCTGTGGAATCCTGTATCGGAAATGATATAACCGTTTTAGATTAGCGTCGTTTATGTTTAATGGTATAGTATAGTTTTATTGCTTCTTGGAATCTGTCAATTTCTAAGTGGGTAAGAATTATTATTTAAGTACTTTTTCAGATCTCTTCAAGATCTGAAAGTTAGTGTACATTACTTTAAAATTGGTAGCCACTTATTTTTTAGAAGCTAATTCCTATCTTATCTGCAAAGTATTTTTGGTAGTGATCGCATTAGAAGAGAGGCTTATTTCTATATTTTTTGTTATTTAATTGCGAAGTATGATTTTATTGGTTTTATTACACGGAGGAACGACAATCTTATTGTCTTTCCTTTTAGATAATGTCGTCGCAGTAGTGTACATAGAGTAACCCTTAAATATGTCTCTGAAAGCAGTAAACTGGTCAATTTTCTTAAACTTCAATGAGTGATGATAAGTATGTAAAGCACTCTGGTTAAATCACTAGTCTAAACGTCGTTTCATCTACTTTGTTTTTGGTCAGTTGGATAATCATCATCAGATTTCATATGCACATAAAAAGGTATAACTCTGAGCTGAATATAGAAATCTTTACTTAATAAACTCATTAAATGAAATGATTTTTAACAATTTTGACTGTAAAATTGTTCTAACCTTTCGGATTGAAGGGTTAAATTTTCAGTTATGGTGGGCTTTAGGCTCAAAACGCGTTTCATTTATCTTCATGTCGTCAACAACCAGGTACTAAAAGTAGTTCTCTGTTTAGATATAAGGTGGTTAGTGGTAGTTTGCAGGAAATCCTGTGCCTAGGTTCCGTGCAAGCTGGAACTCTTCAATAGGACGTACTTGCAATCTTGGGGGATCTGATGGTCTCCGCTGGGTTCAAACCCTTGTCTCCCAGTTTTATAATATGAGATGTTACTGGTAAACTATTTGTACCGTGAATGACCTGTTTGACTGAGATATTTACAACTGATTAATCACTGAGTAGTGAATGATCAGTGTTATGTTTATCTAGTCCTTGAGCACTGTTTGTATTCTACTGAATACATCGCATAGTCTACTAGCAGTAAAAAAGGACTAGACAAACATAAAATTAGTCACTCACTACTCGGTAATCATTCTTTTGTAGATAACGTGTTTTCATACAAAAAATATGGTTTAAATCCTGCTATAAAAAACTTGTATCTAGTCATTCAATTACATCACTGTAATGTAAGAAAAGTACGTACTTGTGTGTTTTCATAACACATGTATGTATTTAACTGTTTCTAGATTTCACTAGTACAACAATTCAACTATGCACTATTTCTTCAACAAATGATGATAATCAAGGAATAGCAATGGATTCAGTGATAGGCAACACTGGAACAACTAATAACATTTCAATACATTCTAATTTATCTAATCGTATTATAGATCTTACATTTACAGATAATGAAACCGCATCGATTTCACCTTCCTTGGCTAATAATACCACCACTTCTGCTAATAATGTTGCTGTTACTCTGCCTTTAACTGAAAATAAACAAATGGCTACTGGAAAAGTGATGAATCCTCCTACTGTAAATACTACAACAACAACTACATATATTCCTACAGTATCATCAGTATCACCGCAGCCGCCATCAATTTCTTCCTCTTCTGTTGTTACTGTTATTGGTGCGTTGACAAAATCAAGCCAAGATAATTCTACTTTCAATACTAGTACTAATAATAATGCACGTTTATTGGCTGCAAGTCTAGTCGCAGATCTTGTGTGTCGTGTATGTGGTCGTCTGTCACAACAACCACAATTAGAACCGGACAATAAAACATTGAATGCGAATGTACTAGTGGAGTGCATCAAATGTGGTTCATTATATCATCAATTATGTCATCAACCATTGATATTAATGTCAACACCCAAACAACAATGGTTATGTATAAATTGTTCGATCAGTACCACTACTAATACAACAATTTTCGATCCTTCATATGTATCGTCTGTATCTGCGTTAACAACATCAGTATCTTACACAGCTACATCGTCTTCGAATTCTACGCTTACTACTTTAGCAATATCAGCTAATTCAACATGTGTTAATAACATGCCAACGGAGTCTATGATACCGTGTAGCGTAATACAATCTGATGGAAATATTTTATCAAGAGATGTAACCATAATTGCAGATCATAATAATAATAATAATGAATGTTCTTTCTCATCATCAACACATCATTCATCTCTAATTTTATCTAATCCAGTTCAATTTCAGTCTCTAGGAACAACTTCAACTGTTACAACACCACAAACATCATCATTACCAGTGTGTACTTCTACTTCTACTCCTACTACTACTAATAATTCTATTACTACCGTTAATTTGACTACATCTTCTAGTACAGTCAATGTTGGTGCACGTAAACGTAAACCAGCATTCACAAGTTCATTATCTGGTCTACCTCGTAAATTAAAAGATGATTATAATTGATTTATTGTCCCTCTTTTTTGTTCTTTAAATTTGGAGAGATGAATATTGAGTTTGAATTTTACAAAATAATGTACAATCACAATAATCTGCGTTTATTTTCCCTTAGTTACTCTTTTTTCTTTTTGAAAGGATAATTAATGATCATCTGTATATGATTATTATGGAGGGTGATTTCGTAATATAACCATAACGATCCAAGAGAACAATATCAACACCCTTATTTCCACAACTCAGTACTGAATCATTCATGATCATTCAGAAGATTAAATAATTGGGATTAATAATTTGTTGAAACTGTCTAATTGTTGGTTTCATATTTACAATATTGATTAAAACAGTTTACATAAGTTATTTTGAGCTCAGTTTATATCTTCTCGTTGTTGGTGCTAAAGACTGTAATTGATCAGTCACTTTTTGGCATATATGTGTCCTGAGTAGATCGTCATGATATTGCTATCAATCACAAACATGTTTAAGCAGAGATAGAAATGGCTATAAAAAAAGATTCCAATATTTACAACTGAACTATAATTAATTCTTGCTGCACAAGCCAGTGGCTATTTGAACTTAATATCTAATTGGACAATATTTTGACATTCAGAGCGAAAGTCACTAGCTTGGACTCCTGAAATAAACATAAACACCGAGACCCAATTACATCCAGTTGACGAGTTCTAGCTGTAAATGAAATGCTCATCTTGAATGTTACTACTAGTCACATTTGATCTCTTCTTGAAAACGGTTTTTTAAATTGTTCATAATACTTGTTGGATACTAATAGAATGTAGTTTGTCTCACGAGTTCAGCTTTTAGACTAGGTTTAGCGTTGAGATCATTGACATTAGTTAAACTATCACAGTTTAAGACCTATTACTAAGTCATCTAGATAAAGACCTTGATATTGTCCTATTGAATCCTTAATAGCCATATTAGCAAATTAGCGATTAATTCAGTTTTAACATTAAATTACCTCTATTCGAAATCAAAGCAAACTTCAGTCTAATTGATTTATCTTTCGTAAGTTCTATGATTAACTAATAGTAGTTTGGTATCGTATCTTTGGTATTTGTAAGTCTAACTGAAGAAAGAATTAATCACTGTAATATTGTAACTTATAAGTAGCTATAAAGTAATATGGTAAGACTTACTAGTTCTAATTAGTCATACATAGTCTATTCAATAATTAAACCAACTGATCTATTAAATATTCAGTGAACTTCGAACCCAGGATCTATCAGTTTCGCACGCGAGCGCTTAACCTCTAGACCACTTAGCCGGCATGAAACGGCGGTAATGTCTAACTTCAACCAATCCACAATATTGAGCAACCATCCACCGTTGTCTTCAGTAAGTTACTATCTCGCAACAGCACCGGTTGTAAGAGAAGGAAATATGAAACAACTATATGATACGCTGAAGAATCTTGTAGAGAAATATTAGTAAACCAGAGAGACCAGCCAAGGACAAAGTAAGCAAGCCAATCACTGAGATTAATTATCAAACAAATATAAGATATACAAATCATGTATTGATAACGGATGGAATCAAATCAATAATCGATAACATTGATCAATCTTCTTTATTGATCTTAAAATATCAATAGAAAAACTCGTTTTACCAAATCTTAATGAAATTTTGATATCTTGTCTATTCTTTTTGGAATGAGAGATTCGAGTAGAGTTTACAGAGGTATATTTTAACAACAATGCAGTACGTTTCAGTTTATATTTTCTTATAACTAATGAGAATATGATTATAATGCGTTAGAAGTAACAAGGGCAATGAATTTTTGATAGTGAATGGCTATATCTTTAGGAAAAAGAAAATGATTTGGAAATGTACGGAATATCATACAACAAAGTGTAGTTCACGTTGTTGTACGAAATGTGATACTATTACAAAGCAACCAAATGAACATGATCATGTTGTAGATAAAGTTAAAGTGGGTGTAAAATATTGATTTATGTGATAAAAGATCAAGTAACTTCATCAACAGAGGAAGTACATTAAACTGTTGGTCGTATGTAATGTCAGTTCAACCTCCAACTATGAGCTGAATGAAGAAAACCATTTGACATGTACGACATAATTATCAACTAACAGTATGGAAAAAAAGAACTAAATAGAGATATCAGAAGGGGGTTTCGTGGAGATTTTAGTAATTTTATATAGTTGAGATCATGAGTCAATTGAAGCTAGACCACCATGGATAACCTGGAAGCACAGGACGGCCGTTTCGTCCTATTGTGGGACTTCTCAGCACCGTTGCATGCTGCCTCAGTGGTCTATCACTTAAGTGCTATGGCGCGAGACTGGTAGGCCATGGGTTCGAATCCTGAGAGGCGGGATCGTGGGTGCGCACTTCTGAGGAGTCCCACAATAGGACGAAACGACCGTCCAGTGCTTCCAGGTGTTCCATGGTGGTCTAGCTTCAAATGACTCATGATCTCAACTATATAATTAGAGATAGCAGCATGAATTAAATTGGTCATAGAAGACTATGGAAATATATCTATGCTAGAACATTGACACACATAAGAAGCACACAATTTGGATTTGAACACTTAGATCTATTGAAGTGTGGTATAAAAATTTTGAAATGTATATAACATTTACATATACATTATATAATTAGATTTTCCTTTTGAGTTTCCATCTTCATTTATGATATTTAACCAATCATTGTACTAGTAGGGTTAATTTCATTGATTTATTAAATCATCATACTGATGCTTACTCTTGTCTGAAATAACCTTACTAAAAGTTTCCTTTATCAATGAGTTAGCTGTTAATGTGGGGTACCGTTCATTAAACTATATCCTACTCTTATAACTGAATAAAACTATAAATGGATAGTGTTTTTCGAAAGAATGGATCCTAATTACATCTGTTGTGAGTCAAACTTGTCCCAATTTTTCTTAAAAGAGGAAATTTACGACGATAAATGTAAACAGTTCCTAAGCCTAGAAGCATTTATTTGTTGACTGACAGACTGGCTTTTTTGTTGATTCGTTAAACAATTAAGCTTTCTTATTCAATATTTGATCACTGCACCCTCAGTAGGCATAATAAAAAAAGCTTAACTAAATTGAAAGATCCTCCACAGCCATGATTAACACAACCCTTCCATTTCAAACTGAAACTGATTAGTTTATTGACGAAATATTATCCGTGCTGAAAGTGCTGCAGTGGCGTTAGATGTAATTTCTTAAGTGTGTTGAACTATATGTTGTAAAGCATGCAAGGCTTAGTGGCTATTAGTTTGATGGAAGTGGTCAATAAGAGACGCTAAACTTAGATTTTCTGCTGCTTGGCATTCATCAGCATGTACTCAGCCTTGAAAGGATTGACACTTCTTGATGGGTAAGAAACTGAGTAGCCCAACCTCCCAGATTTAGTTGTGATCGAATTCTCAGAAGTAACAGCCGAAACTGTTAAAATAGATGATGTATCTTCGAATCCTAAGTTGAGCATCAATTCTCTGCAGATTATAGCAGTTTAGCTTAAAAAGATTCTGGCACAAAACACAGGTCAACATAAGGTATCCCGCTGACCATCTTTAACCGTCTATCATCTCTATATAAAGCAAGCAATTTGGAGTCATTTAGACCAGTAACCACATTGAAACTTGGTGGATAGAATTTGATCAGCCATAAGGACTATAGAAACGGGTCATCGGTCACCGCTTTTTGATGACACAATGTCATGCTTTATAGCTTATTATGATTCGCTTTTTTGTTAGTTTTAAACCTTTTCGATAATCCACGATTGTATGTAAACTTAAGGGTATAATTTATCTTGCCCTATACTTTGAGAGAAATACGCATATATTACTGAAATGTAATCAAGCATGGACTTTGTATGTTAAGAATATAGATCTTTGTAAAATAATTGTTAATGATAATAATTTCGTTACTATGTTATTTATTGCCTTCAGTATGAGGTTTTCCAAGGTAGAGTATTATGATGAAATCTTCATTACTTTTAACATCCAGTTGATTTACTTATTAACCTAACTTACTCACTAACTCACGTACGCCTGTTACTCCCAATGGAGCATAAGCCGCCGACTAGCATTCTCCAACCCACTCTGTCCTGGGCCTTCCTTTCTAGTTTTATCCAATTTTTGTTCATTATTAACCTAAACTTTCATGTAATTAATGTGCTGTTTTAATTCATGAAATAACACGTACCGATTCTATAAAAGTGCAAAGATTGTTAAAACTATGATAGCTTTCAATAAAGTTTCATAGAACAAGTTAACTGAAGTTAGATATTGGCAATCACTGAGATTCAAAACATGTGATTTTCAACCTATTTGAGACTGATCATTTGAATACACCTGTATCTCAGTGTCGATGTCGAATTGAGTAGATATCTGCTATGGCCTCTCACTAATATCAACCGACAAAATCACGAATCAGGATATCAAATTTTATGGCTTTGTCCTTGAGCTAACCACCAGTGATGCACCAACTAGCACTAGTATACTTGAGCCACTACTATGTCCTTATTGGCCCTTGATTCAGTAGCTTCTCTCCCTGAGCTGCCTGTTTAGTTCGCAACACAGTAATCAGTCACCACTATACAGATATCATATTTTAAGCATACATAGTTTACATAAGGGCATTCCCTACCACATCATAACATGAAATGAAAAATGAAAATTATACATGATCAAGCCAAAAGTGACTGTGATTAAGGAAGATAGTGAATAATAATCTGACAACAGATTAAGAATGCTAAGTTATACAATAGTAGTTAATGGGTTTATCATAAGCTTATAATAAAAGGAATATGTATTTACAATAGTAATCTAGTTATTTAATAATTATACAATGAAAATACTTATATGGCATTAGTTCATAAATTAGTCCTGGAAGTTGTTATTCTTTTAGTCTTTGTTTGAATACAACAATATTGTCTACCACATTACCAACTGACCTACTGAATCCATCAAACTTTGTTAAAAAAACTTATGACTAAATGTCAATATTGAAGTAATCCAATCAGGATGTGTTTGCCCCAATAGAGACTTATCAATTTTAGACCTAAGCAACAACGGCAGAAAAATAAAAACATTTACAAACT